ATATCTACTGTTGTTTTAATTTAAAGCTATAAATGTAGGCACAGTCTGAGAGCCCCAATCACCTGCTGTCCCTGTGTGGTCTGGAAAAGCTGAGCCACTGCAGCAAAGGCATCGGAGGTCTGAAGCTGGGCAGCCGTTGTCAGGGTGGAGTTTGGTGTCTCTTCTTCAGGAGGAGGCTCTTTGGGTGATGGTGGAGAATAAGCTAAAAACACAACAATCACAAATACCATCACACACATGTTCTAAATGTTGAGTTCCACCTTTAAACGTGAACAAAACCCACCTGATTCATCTGCCTCTGGGAAAGGCACAGCAGCAGCACTGGTGTTTGCTGCTGCCATGTCCAAGAGAGGCTGAATAATCTCAATTTTGAAGACACCATTTTTCTGCCACAGGTTCAACACACGCACTATTTTACTCTACAAAGACAAATACCAGGAATTAGATTGTATATATTATAGATATGATGGTTCTCATGTGCATTACTTACCCTATCTTCTACTGGGCAAAGACAGAGGTTTTCAAAAGTTCCTGTGATATTTTTGGTAAATCTAGGACCAAAGACATCCTTATCTGCTCCAAACTGGTGTCTGGACTGTCGAACAATAGAATCCACCACATACAGGCCAGCAACTTTGTACTCAGGCTTACACTAAAGATTTAACAAATAAAAATGAATATACAGCTCTGTAAAAATAATGAGATGTTGGAATTATTCTGACCTTTTTGATAAACTTTTCCACAATCTGAACTACATGCTTGTACAGCTGAAAATAGACATGATTTATGAATTGATCTCAAAAAAACAAACATTGTTATAATGTGGAAATTATTTGATTACAAAGCAAATAGCAAAAAAGTCTTACTTTCATAGCTTTGATGGCTGATTTGGTGATTGAAATCATCTTAGCTCGGGAAATTGGGGGCTTGGAGTCCATCAACGAGAATAACTAAACAGAAACAAAAGTAAAGTGCAATGGGGTAAAATAAATGACGATGAGATGTTGTTGTTGTTTACGTTTTTCATTCTATTTTCATACAGATAAAATATTTAATTTAAAGTTTTGCACTGGTCATTGATCATAGGAATAAACAGCTGTCACAGATGCAGAATAGCATTAATGGCAGTTTTAGACGTCACTTTCCTTGAAAGTATTAAATGAAAATCTTTTGCTGAGGGTCAATACAAAGGACATTCAACTGACAACTGAAAGTCCTTTCAAATGACAGGGGGCAGGTGTGTTATGTAGTTATAGCTATATAGTAAAACGACTGAGATTTGAACCCTAAACCTCCTGCACTGTAACGTTAAAACTAAACAACAGCAGAAAATACATCACGTAAGGATTTCACAAAATCGTCAAAACTGCTCAACGCCTTTCGTGACATACTGACTTGAAGGAGTGCGATGTTGTTAGAGGAAAATGAATGATCTTTGTATTATAAATACGCCTCTAGCTAAGTTGCCAGTAGCCTCATTTCAGCACCAGGGAGAAGGAACACTTCCACAACAGTGGTCAGCTTCTTGCAGTACATTTGAATGGTAAATGTTAGCTTTAGCTTGAATGACTCTCCTACATGAAGACGTCTGTCGGAAAGCACACATTGCACACATGATATAATAGATAGCATTATATGCTGTATAATGCTCATCAGGGTCGCTGGCCACTGTTGTGTCCTGCTCGGCCTGGTGGTGCTAGCCCCAGTGAAACAGCCCTGCAGCCTGCACTGCAAACCTGGGTTTGTTGTGGCTTTTTTGGGCCAATAACAGCACTTACCTCGTGGTTAAAGGCGTTGACTGCGTCCATGATGTCTCAAAGCCCAGTGACGTCCCCCCAAAGCCCCTAACCCACAATAAAGCACTGTTTATTGAGAGAAAGCTCTGCTCAACATGTCCGCCCCCGTGCAGCTAACTACAGCTAGCCTAGCATCGGTACTCGGCGGTACAGCAAAGCATGATGGGATTGAAACATGTTGTTCTACATTGTGGCCAGTAGGTGGCGAACTAGTGCTATGAATATAACCATCCCTTTGTTGCGAGACTGTCTACCTGATCACAAATCCAATTAAGACAGTTAATTCCGAGGAGCTCTAGAAATGTTATACAATCTGTTTTTGCATGATGGAGGTACAAATAAATTGTGAATGTTTACATTTAATGGATTTCCAAATAAAGTAACATAAATATATACATACAAATAAAAAATACAAATAGATAGAATAGGCCTAAATGTGACCACCATATTATTTATTTATTCATTTATTTATTTAATTATTTATTTATTTCCATATGCTACACAGTTGTTCAAGGATGATCATGTGTCACCGAGTTAGTGTTTAAACCAGTTTTAGGAACAATTCATTAGTAGCATGAACAGTTTATTTTCATAGTTGAACTGTGCATCAAAATCTTACACTAGATGGCAGTATAGTGGTGCATTTCTTTTATTGAGAATTGCTTGGTGAAATGCCTAGACTGCATAGTCCATCAGGCACTTGTACAGTCCCTTGGGACTCTCCAGGAAAATATGCATGTTGAACAAAACCTACACCCAGTAGCAGTGTACAACAATAATGCGCATATCTTAACCAAAAACAAAAATGACACACTTATATCATATTATGTGTTAGTCCACACACAGCATGGTCTGTTTACAGGTGCCTTATTAATAATTAACTCAGAGAGGTATGGTCGTACTGTGCTTTTAAAGAAACCATAATGCCTTGCCCTTGAGCTTTCACGTCATATAAAGATGAATTATGTCCCAGGTCGTGCCCCTCCCTTCAGGTGTAGGCTACGCTTTAGATTAATGAGCGGATTAATAATTAGGCCATGAACACTCAATGGGCAAAGGGTGTAAATGCTCCTTTGTCTGCTGCTGGTGAATTTCAGAAGAACTTGGAAATGTTGGCAGCACTCCAAGTCCAATTGCAGCACTGATAGAACAGGAATAGGCTGAATAAATTGGTATGGGATATGGTTGAATGAAGCTGACAACACTGGAGCTGAGGTGAATTTTAATGTAGAAAAGCAATTAACTGTTGTGTGAGAACAATTTGTGCCCATTACACCTTGCCTTACGCGCACTAAAATTCACCTAAATCAGATCCTGGACCTACAGCTGTTTTACTGGCACATTTGTACAGACATACTTCTTGTCCTAGCAGGTGAAGTACATACATTCTTTGTTCGGCCAACATGTACAATGTGTACAATATGAGCAAAACACCGGGTGGAGTGGTCTCCTCCCCGTGCGCTCTGATTGGTCGAAATAACTCCCCTTTCTGGAGAATGTGTATGGAGCCGTGTTGTTTTTCACCCCAACCTTTTCACCAAGACACGCCCCCTCAGATGGCCGGGAAAGTCACTTCAAACTGAGAAACACGCTGCCAGAGCTCAGAACAACCTGGAGCTGTCCACGTATGGAGAGGTGACGCGCAGTGTAGTTAGTTTAGATTATCACAGTAGCTTGCGTCAGGTAATAACTTTCTATGATTGACTGTGACATATTTTCAGTCAATTACAAAGTTAAGCTCATAACTAAGCTCTGGGAACTGCTGAGTTGGACACTTTGGGTGAACAGGTGGCGCGCTTTGGTTCTCCTAATTTGTTAATAAGGACGAGACGCACAGACAACGGACTTAAGGCACTTTACCGGACACAAACTAAGCATTTAGAGGTCAGAGAGGGAAAGCAGAGGCGTCTTTTCCCCTGGCTAAACAGGATAATTTAACGGGGAATTGAGATGCCAGTAGCGGACAACGAGATGGTGGTGGACAGTGTCCATGGGGCAGAGGGAGAAGACATCCCGATCTCGCTATGCAGTCCAGCAGCGGACATCCTCAAGAACTTTTACCACACCAAACGCGTCGGGAACTATCTTATTGGAAGGAAGCTTGGAGAAGGATCGTTCGCCAAAGTTAGAGAAGGTCTACATGCCTTAACTGGGGAGAAGGTGAGCCTTACTTTTATTTACAACAACATAAATGTAATATATTTGTAATTGCGCAATAATAAAATCATTCAGTTCATTTTACGCGTTACATGGCCTATAAATAGGCAGTAACCATTTTAAATGTGATTGTTTTTATTTTAAAATAGACAAAGCAGCATACAATAAACAATAATAACATAATAACAAATAAGTTGTAGCAATGTGTATTTTCATTGTCATTTAAATAATAATAACCTATTAAACCGGTTATTTACTTGTTTTTTTTTTATTTTTTTATTTAAATGCATTTTACCATATTTTTTTGTATTATTACTTTTGCCTTATCACTAAAATGATCTAATCTATTCTTAATTACTATTTGCTTTCCATAGAACTACAGTACTTTCCATGGAAAGACATGGGTCATTACTGTTAGGTGGAAATACCTGTTTCACACAATCAAAAGGAGATTTTGTAATATGATATGATTCTCTAATATGATCTGCAGATATAGCTCAGTATAAAATTGTGTATGTATTCTCTTGCATATGCTGCCTGCCTATATGTCTGTACGTCCAGAGGTGGCTGTTACTGAGCATGCTTTGTTTGCTGGTGGTGGTGAGCTCATACAACAAGGGTGAGCTCACCACTCACAGTGACAGAAGAGAAGGCACAGCTCAGCCAATAGAAGCGCACCGCTGCTACTTGCATATGAAATGTTTTGTTTGATAAATGGCCCCAACGTCTCATTATGATTCTCCCAGTACAGGCGCTTTGAAGTGGACCGCCATTGGCCACTGGTTGCCTTTGTTTCCTTGATACACCATTTTAGCTGGAGAGCATTATTTGAATATAAGAAAAGGGCAAACCTAGTCTTTTAGAATCCACACTCTTCCCTACATGAACAATACAAAATAATCACATGTTAGTAAATGTTAGTAAAATACATATTTGCAAATAATGAGTAAATAATTGTATGTCAAAGCCTCTAACAAACACAAATCTTTTATCATTCTATTGATTTCTTTCTGTCATTCATATCCCTGTACTATTTGGTGTGGATGATGCAAACCTATGGCAATCCACGCATTATTGACGCTCTGTCTCGCTTTCATTGAGATGCAGGGATCCAACAGGCAGTGCAAAAGAGAGAGAGAAGAGAGAGGGAGAGCGCGCTGGGCTGGGGGCATAGAGTTTATTTAAGCAGGGTATTCAGAGGGCAATGCATTCAAGAGTCTTTTTCAACATCCCTCGAAAGAAAGTGATGCTGGTGAATGTAGGGAGCAGAAAAGTGAGGAGAGGTGAGATGTTTTGGTGGGTGGGGGCTTGTAAGGTCATGCGTGTTTTTCATGTCTGTAACCCACTTTCACCCTCTGTCCCACGCCCCTGCCCCCCCTCTACTGTCTGAGGGGTGCCTGGTAAACAACCCCCTTTGGCCAACGTAGGACACCCCTCCCCCTGGTATAGGCAAGCTTACAGTAAATACAGTGAGCTCCACCCCCCCCTAACCATACATACAACTGGAACCCCCTTTTTCATTCCTTCTGCTTGGGATAAACACAAGCCACCTATTATTGCATTGTGATGGCTCAGTGCACACATACACACAACAGTATTAATTAGCTGTAAAAAGGTTTCAGTCTTAGAGTGATTATAGGGGATGAAAGGGTGCAAATACAATAAAAAAGCTGAAGGACAGAAGAAAGATAAAACATCTACAGCCAGCAGCCGGACCCATTTCATTAATGGATATGGTTATTAGTGCCATTGGTCGTGCCTTTCTATGTCTCGCGGTTTCTCCTTGTAGATGATTTGTTGTGCATGGTACCCATGCTCTTGAACCTGGTCTAGACTGGGATACAAGGAGACAGGAATGAAATAAGGTAGATGGAGATGTTAGTGAATGTAATTAGCAAGAGACAGATGATAAGGCTTTGTCATTGAGGGGAAGGGCATGTTGACTGTTATAAGACGAAGATGGGGTAAGTAATAAAGCATGCTAGGGCCTTCAGTTGTAGTTCTACTTTGTGTGTTTAGTTGTAGCCCTGAAGCAAATGGCAGAATATTGACTCTCCATATGGCTCTTTTCAACAGTTAGGATGGCATTAGGGTAGCATTTGCCTCTGTCCCACACTTTGTAATGGCTCAGTAACCCCCAAGTTACACATGGGGTCTCCTCACAGCCGCAGGGACTTATAGCACGCGAGCTGCCATAGATTGAGAGCAGCTGCAAGGGAGAGGTTGGTGTCGAGTTATGCATCTAGCTATGAAGACAGCCAGCACCTGTTACACAACACTAGAATGTACACTTAGAACTTCACAATTCATTGATACTAGTTATAGATCAGTACTTTACATGTTAGGTTATGATTTCCAATAAATATATAATCATATTATGGGTTAACAATAGAAAGCGTCTATAATAATAGTGTTAGTGAATGCAACATCTGCCTTGTATTGCAAGAAACTGAAAATGTGTCTTTATCTGAAATATTTTCTTATCAGAGGTTTGAAGTATACAAGCAAATGCAAGGAATGTGAGATATGTGTTCAACCAAAGGCTGTAGTCCTGGTTTAGTCTTAAATTTCAATTTTGACAGTTTTCATATAAGTATAAACAATGTTAATCTTCTATTTGACTGTACCAATGTAAATTTATTTACGGATTGTGTGCAGGTAGCAGTTAAGGTGATTGACAAGAGGAAGGCCAAAAAGGACTCTTATGTGACCAAGAATCTCCGCAGAGAAGGGCACATCCAGCAAATGATCCGACATCCCAACATCACACAACTGTTGGACATCTTGGAGACCGAAAATAGCTACTACTTGGTCATGGAGCTATGTCCCGGTGGCAATCTCATGAACCGCATCTATGACAAGAAGCGTCTGGAGGAGAGGGAGACCCAGAAATACATCAGACAGTTGGTGCTAGCAGTGGAGCACCTGCACAGAGCTGGAGTGGTGCACAGGTGAGTTTAAAAGTAGTTAAACTAGTTTTGAAAGGTTTGCATATGAAAAATAGAAGACATCAGTTGGGAGGTATTAGGAAGTTGACGTTGGCACTGTGCCATCCACAGCCCACAATGTTGATGGGTTAAAGCTTTAAGATGTGAGTCAGACATGATCCTCTTTCTCCAAGTATGGGTTAAGTCCTTATTGTACACATTACAGTTAATCCAGATATAAGCAGATTGTTTAATAATTAATATGATGCAACAGTAGTTGTGACATTCATGGATATATCTCCATACAGTTATGTACTACATGCAGATTTTAAAACAAAAAGCCCAAATGGTCTTCCTGCACCTTGGGAACATGACATCCAGGAGCCTGGGAACTGAACTGGGGGAGACAGTCAATGCAGTTAACTGTATAACAGGATTTAGAAGAATTAAGGGGCAATAGCAGACACACAATAGCCCCAAAATTCAGTCAGCGTGACCCATATTGGGAGGGCATGAACTGGCGGGAGGAGGACTTTAATACTCTTTTGTGCTTCAATAATAAATGCATAGACAGTTGTCTGAAGTAACTGACACTGTTTTTTTTTTGTTTCACAGGGATCTGAAAATAGAAAATCTCTTGTTGGATGAGCAGGACAACATCAAACTCATAGGTAAGACAAGTTCTAAAACTGATGATAAAAAGGTTTATTAGAAAATAGAGTTAGAAACTAATCTTTATATATAAAAGAAGTAACTGAATTTAAAGAAGTTAAGTAGAAGTATTTTCTCAGGTGCTACATGTGGCAAAGACATCCTGTTAACTCCTACACGCTCTCACCTCAGCGCTAATCTGCTTCTGTTTGTGTTTAACCCTGACACGGGGCAACAAGTTTAACGTCCTGGCAGGAAAAGCTGCCACTACCCAGCAACAAAGGAATAACAGTTTATTCTGCCCCCTAGATTTTGGCCTCAGTAATTGCGCTGGCATCCTGGGATACTCGGATCCATTCAGCACACAGTGTGGCAGTCCAGCATATGCCGCGCCAGAATTGCTTTCCAGGAAGAAGTATGGGCCTAAAGTAGATGTTTGGTCAATGTAAGTTTCTTTATAACTGTTACATTATTTTAACCCAAAATTTAAAATACTGTCATTTGAGGTCAGTCCCAAAACTGAATTACATCAATGTTACAGCAGGGAAGGGGAACTAATTTAATGTCTTTGACTACTACTATTAGAAAGAAAACCAAGAATCAGCAGGACATCTGACTTAAAATTTTGACCCAATTAATAAATAAATAATGACTGCTTAGTTGAAGTGCAAGTTGCTATATAAGATCCAAAAGAAATAAGCTAAGGTAAATGAAATGAAATACAACAAAATACTAATAATTATTATTTTCTGTGTTTTTTTAGTGGGGTGAACATGTATGCCATGTTGACCGGGACCCTCCCATTCACCGTTGAGCCTTTCAGCCTTAGAGCCTTGCACCAGAAGATGGTCGACAAAGAGATGAATCCATTACCTCCCTCACTCTCTACAGGTTAATACTTGCACACTCCTATATGCAAATTTAAAGCAGACTATGATTATATGCTCTATCTTGTCTGTCATCTCAAACAATAAGAATAGCAATCATTGACTTAATATTATGGAAACACCCCAGGGGTGATAGCAAGTGGAGATGGGACACAAAACTTGGCTGCACGTAAACACACTGTACTGAACTAATTTAATAATGTCTTGAGTAATGTTGTTTTATTTTCATGACGTTTACCTTTGAGGCATTGTTACATAGTCGAGGTACAATGCTGCCAATGCCTTATCTATTTAATTACACTTTTTTTTTGTTTCCTTTAAATTTATTGCATTGATATGAGATTTCAGCAATTAAAAAAAAACTACTTTAGTAAATAGGAAAGCAAATAGAAATGTTTGAACACAATTCAAAACTTTGAATCTGCTTTAGTACTAACACATTTAAGGTAAAAAAAACTGAACAAATATGCAATGTAATGTGTGTAATAGGGATGTATGTAAAAAAGGTAAAAAGAACACATAATGAACACGTGCGCATTGGCAGTCAAAAGGACATGCCACAACAAAACCCGAAGTCAATATGCAAAGCAGGGATGATGTTCACATATATATTGTCCTCAAACTATTGACACAGAAATGCCATCGCCTTATAGTCTTCATCTATAATTACAGGGAACCAGAGCCAAGTTTATGTCAGTCATAGTGCACCGTGCCAAGAAATGGAGGTTTATAAAAAGCAACATACTGTTCATTTTACATGGCACTTAAAGTAGAGGAAGATTTATTATCCTACTGTCAGTGAGTGTTGTTAATGTTATGTATTTAGACCTGTTATAATTAAAGTCTGTGCTCTTCTCCTTCAGCTGCCATTTGTCTTTTGAAGAAACTTCTGGAGCCCGATCCAAACAAGCGTCCCAACATTCACCAGGTTATGGCGGACTCGTGGCTACAGCTGGCCAATAAGAACACAGGAGCACCATACCTCAACAGGTGAGGGTAAAACCAAATAGAGTTTCAGTGATTCCCCACTTCAAGGTCTATTAATTTTTTCCAAAGCCATTCAAAAAATGGACATTAAACATTTGACAGCTTGCCACAATGATCAGTGATTACAATATAAAAAGATAAAAAATGTGAATTATATTTAGAATAATAATGGAGCAAATATAGCAAAGAACTAAGGGGAAAATTAATGGAAAATAAACTGTTTTGTGATTTTCCGATTTCATAATATGTGTATAGTCTTAAATAGTGATAAAGTTGAACTTTTTTCCTTCTATAGGATTCACATTGAAGAAATTAACCACACCGTGTTGATGCACATGACAGAGAAGATGAACTATAAACACAGTGAAGTCCTGAGTGCAGTGCTCACAAACCGGGCCTGCCACACGTTGGCGGTCTACTTCCTCCTCAACAAGAAAATGAAAAGATTATCCAAAGAGTACAGGGTAAGGAAACTTTTAAAAGTGATTATGTAGTGTTTTGATTCAAAAATATTGTTTTGATAAATATTTTAGTTTTAGACCAAAACTGAAGCAGCCACTAAAACATGACATAAACTGCTCAAATATAAATCACATTGCTTTGAAAGTTTTTTGAATTTTTACTGACAACGATTTATTTTAGGAAATGCAGTTTCAAGAAAAGAAGAAAGGGGAGAAGCAAAAGAACGAATATTTCCAGACACAGTGGAGAAAGCACGTCGACAAACTTACCATCCCGCCAAAGCAGACACCCGTGTACTTAGCAGTCAGCAAACCGGGCAAGGAAAAGAAGCACCGAACAGGTAAGAATCAACTAAAAGGCTCTTAAATTTCACTGTGCCTGAAAATGCATGTATTTATTTGATTTTACCTTGTTTCACACAGGGTAGGTTGATGCATGTCTTTGTTCGTCACCCAGCGTTTTGTGCTGTTACCATCCATGTGTCCAATCATCCACCCCTCCTTCCATACACTCACCCATTGTCTGTCTGTGTCTGTGGCCCACCCAAGGAGACTTCTGCAATCGAAGGGTGTACATACAAACACTATTTATTTAATGTGGCTCTAAAGTAACAATATTGATGGCAAGATAAATGGCAAAAAAAAAAATTTAGTAGAATGTGGCAACACTTCAAAAGAACTGTAGCCGTAAATTTGAATGCAAAACATAGAGCTATATTTAATTTGTAATTAAAAATAACACTATATGAATGACTACAGCAAAGAACTGGATCATCACACTTTTTTTCCTTAATTTGATTGATTATTTAAAATCATATTAAATAAATATTATTTGCATGTTTATTTTATATAAGTAATAATTAACTTTACATGACTTATATCACGCAGAGGTTCAGGTATGAAAATCCATTAATTAAAGTAGTAAAAATTACAGTTTGGTAACTTAGAGGATATAGAATGCAATCAGGAAAATACTAGATCCTCTAAAGTTCAGTCACTGATACTCAAATTTGCAAATTTGAAACTTGTTAAAATAAGTTGGATTATTGTAAAATTATTATTAACTCATTTTAAGTATTACCACATTTTACACATATGTGTAGAAAAATGCCATCAAGTTTGCAACAAAAAAGACATGTTCTAAAGGACCTCAGTGTGTCGTATGTCAAACAAGCTGAAGCCAAATTCCTGTAACAGTGTAGTAAGCCTTCTGTAAGATGTCTTGTTGGACTGAGTAGTTCAAATATCTACTTTATCTACCCTCAGGTCTATTGCGGGCAATCACTGGTGGCCATCGTAACTCCCCTCTCGCCCCTCCTGGTACCGTTGCCTCTTCTTCTATGGAATACATGGAGATACACCCGCTCTTCCCCAATGAGCCACAGCAGCGAAGGCGTCTGGCCACTCTTCCTCCAGTCAACACGAGCCCCGAACACAACGTTCCTGCACCGCCCGCTCCCTCCCCCATCGGCATGCACTCCTTTGGGTCCCTGTCCAAAGCTGAGCAAATCGAAGACAACCCTCCTGCGCCCTGGTACAAGCTCATCAACGGGACACTGTCACCCCCACGCCATGTTTCTGCTTTTCAGCCGGACTCCTCTTATTTAAAGAAAGCCACCATCCCAAGTCCTCCTGTTCTAATCAACAACCCACAACCCAAAAAGAGCACCTCTACAGATTGGTGTGGGGGCTCTGATACAAGTGGTAGCCCACCCAGCACCATTGGTAGCCCACCAGGAAGTTCTGCATTCAGTCCCACCAAAATCTGCTTTCCACCCTCTCAACCCCCACTCCGCTTTTAGCCATCCATCTGCAAATAACAGCAGCAACAGTGACCCAGAGAGCCCTACTCATCGCAGCAAGTTTCCCTCAATGGGAATAGGACAGATATTAAAGAAGAAAGTCCCATTACAGCCATTTTCCTTTCGTCCCGAACAAGTTGTAGAGGAGGTAGTGTCTCCGCCTCCGTATCCCATGCAAACACTGCTTTGCGCATCAGGCGCACTCAAAACTCTTTGCTGATGGCGCAACAACGTAAAGGAAATAACTAAAAAGATAGAACGGGATCTCTCAAAATGTACAGAAGTTGGAGGGGTCTTCCAGAGCGGCCTTAGTTTGAACTGTGAATTTTGTTTATTGCTACTGAGCCACTTTTGTCCATTTATTTGTTGAAGGGGATTGAAATTAGGGCTGCACAGCATGAGGAAAAACATGCAATATGCAAAACTGTGGAAAATTTGCAATATTATAATATAATATTATTATATAGTAAGTTATAAAATATAGCTGAAATATCCCTGTAATTACTAATCAAATAAACATTTAACAAAGACAAATCTACAATTAAATGTAGATGACGAAATTGAATTTAAAATATTTTCATTTAGTAAAAATAAAACTGACTATAAATTTAGGTCAGATGGAAAGCCATAGCCTTATTGCAATACTTAGTTCTTGACCCAGTTAAAGCATAAATATTGCCATAGAAATAAATTGTCAAGATCTTGTGCAGCCCTAGTTGAAATTAATCATAATTGTCTTGTTACTACTGTCATTATGTAAGAATAGGTGGTGACACAAAGGATATGAGATTTAAAAACTGATCCCTAAACAATGAGTAGACCTCGTCCCAGATCCAGATAGGACGTCATGTTATCCAAGGTGTGCACATAGGCGCTTACCCTCGTCATAAGAACACTGTATTATAGATTTACGAGATTGTCTCTTATGTAAAATTGTAATAACTGGTTACTAATTGAACCATCTACTGATTCACACCAGCTAAAGGAGCCCAACCTGTCCCCTGCCCCATAATATGTGTTCTAGTGTTTATTATTGTCTATGTGAAAACTATATCCACTGATAAACAGGCAGCCCGCACTGTCTCCTCAAGGCTGACTGGCACTGCACTATTGTTGAAACCAAAATCTGTAGTATAATGAGTGTTTTTACATCCTTTACCTCACAGCATTGTTCATAACACGTCAAAAAAATAGCAATCAGTATGTGGATTTTGCCACCGTGTTGCAGTAGATCTAATAGGGTAGACAGCAGACAGGTAGCAAAGTTAGATTCATTCACCTTTTGTATGGTTAAAACAAAACATCCAACTTTAAACACTGTTAATTCACAGCTGTACCTTTTATAGTGTTGAAGCACCTCTAGCAAAACTATGGGAAGGGTAGCTGTGATTTTTCTTAGCCAGTTTTTTGCAAAATAAATCAAAAACATAAAAAAATGCATTAAAGCCTTATGAAACAGACAAACCTCGCCAAATGCTGTAGGTATGAGAAAAATTCACTTCATTTTTGTCTTAAAGATGTAGTCTGTGCAATAGTCTTAAGTGTTAAATGCAAGTATTTGATAAGTGCTCTTTTTTGGGGGCGCAATCATGTGATTGTAAATAAGATACAACTACTGTGTTCTGTCACTTGCGCTGTGCTGTATGAAGAGATCTTATGAAGTTAAAGACATTTAACATTTTGTAGTTACCGGGAAAATACTACTGGACTTTATATTGAGGCTTCCACTGGCAAAACTCTAGGCTACACCACTGTTAATGGTTAAGATCTCTTCCCATCAAAAGTTGCATGCACTGTTTGACAAATTGTTTCGTCACCTTTTTGAAAATCATGTCTTTGTACCTTTTTTCTTGATAATACGGAGATTGATATGGACTCGAGGGAAAGGGGAGGGTCTTTTGTAAGATTTTGTAATGATGGTTTTGTTTCGAGTGTCAAGAGATTTCTATGCTGTATAAAGTATTTTAAATATTTATACTGAATTCATGATGTGTCTGTCTGATTCTTTAAGTGCTTACCGTCTGTGCTCATTCATGCAACATTTAGAAAGTAACATATCTATTAATTTTGGTATGGTGCTAAATATTTAAATTTGTTGTGAAAAAGTTGTGACAAATAAGTTTGGAAGTTTGATTGGTTTTAAACATTTACTATGGCAGTGATAAACTATGAACAAAAATGATTAATTCTGAATATATATGATGACTAAATTTTTTTTTAGTACATAAAGAAATTATTAATAGATAATCCTCACATGAACAGTTGTTTACGCACAAATAAAAAAAAATTGCTTTGAGTCATGGTACATTTTTACAATGAAAGAGGGTGTTTATCAAATTTTTATTCAGAACTTTGAACATTGTTACTCTGGTTGGTTCATAGCTTTTATTGAAATGCTGTCCTGAAAGACTTTCACATTACTGTACATTGGACAATTTTACGATTTTTCTATAAATATATTAACCATTAGTGGAAAATATAGACTGTTAGAGAGCAATTCTATAATAATCTGCACACTTTCTAGTTAATTTATGGGTAATTCACACAGCACCTAAAGCATACATCATGTGTAAAGCACTTAGAGGCTTTGAGAGTTAATGAACATTGGCCTTCCCTCTTCAGCGAAACGGTCCTGCTGATTTACAACCACACCTCTCCTTCTCTACGGTACCACTTGTTTCACTATATATACATTTCCCACGATGCACCTGTGCTAAGTAAACGAAAGCCTTAACAGTCGTTGTATGGTTGGGACAGCTGAAGGCCCCATAGTCCTGACTCAGACATACTCAGTAGTGATACCCTGAAACACAAACAAAACACTATAATCTACTGCCCCACACCCCTGCCCCCCAAAACATAAACCTCTTTGGATGACACTGCCTGATGGGACAAATAACACAAATGGGAGGAAGGAGGGGGGCTATTAGACAAACAGGACAACATGCATAAACAAGCCTGTCTGACTGGTGTTGCGCTAATCTGATAAAAGTGGGCTAAACTGGCTCTAAAATGCATAACACCCAAACCCTTTGTTTACTATAGACACATGGATTGGGCAGAAATCACCAGGCGGTATACAATGAGACAAATTGGATGGTGTAGTAAATAATGTGGCTTAACTACTCCTCACAGTGAAAGGGATGTGTGAACCATGGGATACTTACAGGTGAACCCAAATCAGCATTTTTAAGAGTAGAAGACACATAGATTCAAAAATGAAACATGACAGAAAGAAACTGCTGCTGTTAAGCTTGAGTGATTATACATTAGGAAGACCATTAGTGTTGGTAATTGTTGTATACGGCTGAACTGGAGACTTATACAGAGCATTAGGGCAATAAAACAAATAATAACTTGAATGTGGAGCCACTTACTAAAAAGAGGCAACACCAAATTACATTAGTGTTTTCCATTTAGTTGACTGGGAAACAAATATGGGGTATAGGAGCACACAAAATAATGAATTATATATCCTCAAATCCTGACTCTAGTTTCAATTAGAAATTAATTTGTTGTGGTGAAACATTTTTAAAATATATGTAATAAAAGTAGTGCGGTATTAATACCAAGATGTAGGCTATGATTTAAACTTATTTAGATAATAAACCTGCCATACAGGATTTCCTCTTTGCAATGATTTCTAGAAGAGACCAGAGGGTTGAAAGAATGGTGCTAGTAGCTTTTGGCATAAAAATGATGCCAGATCAATATGCAAATGAAGGCAGACTGTGAAACACATGATATGTTTGGCAACCACTAAACAATTCTTACACAAAGAGGAAAAAGCGCAAACGAAAAACAATGAAATGAATGTAAAGTAAAAGATAACAGGTTAGATAGTTATTTCAAATTGATAACCAAAGCCAGCAGCTGTATAACCATGAATAAAAAAGCTTATTAGGGGCTGTGGTTTCCTCCATCTTGTGACTGGGAGCCTCCTAAATGGTGTCTCCATGGCAACAAAGTCTCAATTTAAAATGTTGGCAGCTTTGTCTCAAAAATTACCTTCACCAAACATGCATTCAATTACAAACATTCAAGACTTTGTTATACATTACAATTACTATTGCAAATTTAAAAACAGACACCATTTGAGGACCTCTAATTTCAGACCTATTTTCCAAACAAACCAGGAAAGGCTAAAATCTAAAACAAACAACAAAAAAAGCTCACATCTTCAACAACCTAGGATTAAATTTAGGACTAAATGAGTTCAAGACCTTGACTATGAATAAAACAAACCATCTTAACAACCTTATTGCCAGTACATATGTAGCACTAAATTGTGCCTAAAACAGCAATTTTGTCAAGCATGCCAGTACCAAAATAAGTCTGAATAGACATAATCAACCCCAGTAAATATATATTTATCATCACAAGGTGAATTAATTATGACAGAGTTGACAAAAATTTACCCCGACAGGTTTTCCCATATGATCGGTCAAATGAAAAAGATGCAAGATCAATAGTGAAGCCAGGATTATTAACTTAGAACATCAATACTGGGTGAATTATGGATTGTCTCCTATATGTTCAATAAGAGGTGAACATAAACTGTACCAGACGTTATAAATGTCAATCTGTTCTGGCTTAAGTCCCAGTGACACTAATCCTGTTTTCAACCTCTTTTGTTCCCACAGTTACCCACCAGGACGCCAGGGTCTGGGTGTCTGAGGGGGACACGCACATCAATCAGCCAAAACATTATGACCACCTGAGGACAGTCTGCACCAATGTGACATTTGCGACTTATTGGAAAGAGCATTTAAGCTTGAAGTAGAAGATGGTTAAGTCAATTTATTAGTTAACATTATGCCCAGTAGTACATATATGTAGTAGGGGTGGACAATATGAAACGATAGGCTATACATTAGTGATCTTTCTACATCGTTAATTACAGAAACCTGCTTCTTAGAGTCATTTGTTTGTCATGGTTTGTAATGTATCTTTTCTTATTTGCATACAGCACTTTGGTTGAGGTGCTCTAGAAAAAGGTGAGTTGAGAGAGCATGTCTTAAACTGACCCAGCAGGAGAAGTATACATAATATGTCAGTGCTTTGAGCCACAATAAATGATCTCTCCATATTGGCATACTGTTCACAATTAATTTATGCATGTTTATATCCCTATGAAACACTATGTATAATGATGAACCACCAACTAATTTAAAAACATACAGTAGCTCGCCCAATCAAACATTTGCGCAGGTACATCTCATGTTCTAATGTTCTTTCTACAGAGCTGAAATGTCCCACAAGAGCTGCAGTTTTGTAAATACTGATACAATCATCACTAGATCTTGTGAGACCCAATAAAATCACTGAAAAGCCTTACCCACTTTCCCTCAATCACAAGACAGAATGTTCACTTGCTACTAAATGCATCACACCCAATACCAGGTGCCATAATGAATAGATAATCACTTCACCTGTCACTTAATGGTTTTAACGCACTAAATTTGTCACTGGCTAAAAGTTCAAGACCACACACATTGGAGATCTTAGTCCATCCTCAAGACATTTGTATCAGCACCGTCAGCACTTCTCAGGATTAGGAGAGGGGAGAGAGTGAGAGACTACCTGTGCGGAGAGACGTGGGGGAAATAAACAAGCAGATGTATCTAATGAACTTGGAGGCCTTGAGCATCCACAGGGGATTTGGGTTATTCTGTCAGGACGCTCTGGTCAATTGGATCTCCTGTTTGATCAGAGACAGAGGAAGGTGATTATTGCAATGAGAAGGGTGGCGTAAACACAGATTAGACACCAGTGGACTGTCTCCTAAATGCTCCAAATATTGATTTAGTGTAAAGAGACTGGTGTTCTATAAAACATGTACAGGCATTTCCCCTGAATAAAGATTGATCAGAGGACTTGTACGTGGCTCCAAATATATTTTCTAATAATGGATGTGTGTGCTAGAGTAAACATGCTAGATGTTTATTCTTCTTCTTCAAATAGTCCTTAGCAGTCAAAGAAACATTTTTTCTTCATTATGGTTTATAAAAACGATAGGAAAAAAAACAAAACAAAACAAAACAAAAAAAACAAAAAACATGAGAACCATGAGTGGTTCGTGTGGTGCAGTGGTGAGAGAGTGAGAGAGAGAAGAGAATTTGGTGAAAGCACTGTATGAATATTGAGGTGTGGTTCTTTGTCAAAGCAGAAAAATAAGCAGAGATAGTTGGTTGTAATAAATAATATTAAAATCTACTGACCAAAATATTAATTTGATTTGATTAATCAGCCATCTAAAGCATGATAGCAATAAATTCTGGTAAGTGAAGCTGAATTACAGTTACAATGTGTAATAATAATTATATGATTCACTGATCAACAAACATTTGTTCACATACCCATAATAGTTTTTTTTTTGTTCTATAAAATACCCTTTTAACACATACATAAACGTCACCAACAGACTCTAAAGTTGGCACACAGGTGGCACTCTGAGATTTTTTTTTCTTTTTTTTTTTCTCAAAAACAACATCAGAAATGCAATCAAAGGACAGCGCTCAGCCAATCAGAACTCAGTGTCTGTGGCAACAGCAGCCTCAGCTTGAGTTCCTATTGGTCAAATGAATGATACAGGAAAGCATGTGATTGGCCGGCTTTGCGCTGAGGCTTCATTGCCTCCATGGCAACATTGCTTCCTTATTGCTTAGGAAAGGTGAAAAGGAGGGAAAAAGGGGAGGCGACTCTCACTCAGACTCTGCCTCTGCATTATTCATCCTTTGTCCCCGAGCGCTTGTAGAGCTCTATATGCTCTGACTGACGCGCATGTGTTCTATCATCACTGTTGGTCTAGGAATGGCTGCTAATGATTGGTCGAGACTAAAGGGTGACTGGGGTGAAACTCGTGCAATACTTGCCCCTAACAGTGCAATGTGTCCAGCAACATAGCTCTATATATAAAGTGGCTCAGAGGCTTCAGGAGCTTCTCACTGCCAGACTCACCTCAATTACACTATTAGTCCTTAATCCACATTGTCTGAACTGCAAGTACACCCTTCTGTGTCTAACCACCTTGCTACAGGTATTTTCAGAGCACATCTCTGAGAGCAACAGCCGGACAACATTGCATCATCCCCATTCTCTCTCTCCTCACAGGATCCAGCTCCTCCATCCCAAAAAATCTGGCTGAACACACGACCGGCACCACCCACGAGGTCCATAAACAACAACACACCACGAGGCTTGTTTGTTGTTGTTTTGCCTGTTTTTTTTTTTTTTTTTTTTTCATCAGAGAAGGGAGGGGTGAATGAACGGGTGGGGTTTGCAGCAGTGAGAAAAACATCACGCCGGGATTAGGGAGGGGGCACAGCAATGGACTCCTCCCCCCCTGTGTGTTTGAGCATGGGATAACGTCTGCTGACAGAGAGCTGTATGGCTGGATGACTGTTCCTCGGGCGGCCAACACGATGACGAGATGGCAACAAGCACTCCGCATAGCACGTGCTCTTAGTTACCATCGCAACCAGGCCTTGGATACAGCATGCTGGTTGGCCGTCTCCTGTTGTTGTTGTGCACGGCGGCTGATGAAACCTCGTGGGTGAGGGAGGGCACAGCACTGTAAAAGCATGTTGCCGGTTTCCCTGCCCTGGTTGAAAGTGTTGCTAGGCACATCTGAGGTCAGCTACTTGGTAAACAAACCTTTAATATGTAATCAAGCTCCCATCAACCCCAAAGAGCTCAAACTTCTCGGTTTAACTCAAAGACATACAGTTAAGCTAAATAGATACTTTTAATTACAGATAAAGAGGGATGAGCTGCTGATCCCAGGCAATCTGAGAAAAGAAAGAAAAAACATTTAATATATAAACATTTGCCTTCTTTGGTGAACTAAAAAACAAACTAATGAAAATGTACAAAACATGTCAACCATCGTCTATGAGATCCATATCAAACAGTTCAACTACAATAAAAGTTAAAGCATATTTTTATTCATCCAAATGCAAATCCCTAAATAAAAATCTATAACTGAAACAACTATTTAGGAGGGCCATAAGCGCCATATTATTCCTCCTTTAAACCAAACTAAAATGTATTGCATTGCTTATAGGCAGTGGTGTAGTGGGGATTTTTTAGTCTTGGTTCAGTCCTGGTTTAGTCCTCCTGGTTCAGTCCTTGTCCCCTCATGTCAGAGGTCACTATAGGACAGTACTGGAGATATCCAGCCTATGCAGGTTGTTTTCACCATTGCTAGTAGCTCCGGTCAAGTTGTAGGCTATTTTATATCTCACGTCTGGAGCAGTGGGTGGACAGCGTACCTCCACATACCACACCCACTGCACCCCTGCTTATAGGGTATTTATCTTTAAAGGTGCACTAAGTATCTTCTCTGCTGGAGGGCACGCCACTCACTTGTCTCCCTAGAGATGTTATTGCTTTGCCTGGGTTTATAGAATATTCATGGAGAAGCAGGTGAAATCACCAGGCCAAATCACAAGTAAGATCTGTGGAGAGGCAGCCCACTAAATGTATGTTTTTCAAGGTGTTTTTGCCAGATAAACAAGCAAGATACATTAAAATCCCATATTGTTGGACATTCCAGGCAAAGTAAAAATATGTCTCTTGGGATAAGAAGGTAACAGGTGCTCACCAGACGAGCCTCACCTTAAACTGATGGTGATGTCATTTAAATAAGCAACAGAGCCAATTTTGAAAATTTTAAACAATTTATTATTACTACAAAACAATGTGCATTATATGAAAAATAAACAACTGGCACTGAACAAAGAGGTTAACATGAACAGGAAGTCACAAACAAAAAATGGATTTTTTTATGAACGGGCCTCTATAAACAAAACCTTTAAAAGCTATAAGGCCATGGTGTGCAACAGTGTCAATGTAAGCAACAAGATGCGGTTTGGTCTTTCCATTTCGAAGAGAACAAAGGCTAATGTATGTGTGTGTGTGTGTGTGTGTGTGTGTATGTGTTTGGTGGCCGGATCGATACCGCTTTCTGCTGAGAGTGCAGGTTGGAGCTTGATGAAATCCTGGACAAATAAACATTCAGCTCAGGGCGCAGGCTGGGCTTATACTTTCTCTGCTTCACCGGTGGAGATGTTGTCATGCACCGCGAGAGGCCAGCTGACAGTGTGATTGATTACAAGTGTGGCCGCGCTTTGTTTCGCCATCGGTAAAAGCACCACAAAGGAGCTGAGCGACTGTACGCGTTTGTGTGCAAGGTGAGGGCTAGGACAAAGCGATAGTGATGGTCGAATGGAAAACAGGGCTCAAATATAGGTAAAGATTGTACAAAATAGGAATACGAAATGAACGCTGCTTCCATCTTGAAAAGAAGAACCCACCAAGGAGGTTTATCATAGTCAGAGGGTACGTCACATCGTTCTTACAGGCCAGATTCGATCTCCTCCAGTCTCTGCGCCATAGACACCACCATCAATTTTATCTGGAAGAGGGGGGGAGAAAAGGGTGTAATGTTAATGGCAAGGTTTTGAATTGCAAGGAGAAAAGCAGGCAGGGTGTTTTAAAGAGATTTCAATTAGGATCTGATCAACAATGGACAGAAGCAGGAAGCAGGGGAAAGGAGAGATAGATGGAGAGAAAGAGAGGGGGCGGGGGGATGAGATAATTGGAAAACTGGAGAAATGGAAGAATGACAGACTCCAGGGGAAAGTGGTCAGGGTCGAATGGATGTGGGGAAGAGAGGGGAAAGGGGAGAAAGAGAGAGATAAGAGGGAGAGAGAGTGGGCAAGAGACAGAGGGAGACAAAAGAGAGTGAGAAAGAGACAGAAGGTAGAAAGAGAGAGACAGATATGAGAGAGAGAGATAGAAGCAGCAGGTCAGGGAGTGTACCAGAACAGATTGAAAGAAAAAATCCAAACAAGTGTCTACAAGTCAGTCAGATTGAAGACATTAAAAAGACAGCACAGGGGGATGGTGACATTATAAAATACACAGGAGATGAAGGTGCAGACGAATAATAAAACACAATATAAATGGATGTAATAAGAGATAAAATTCTATCAGGCTAACTTTATAATTTTGGTGAAATGTGCTATTTCTAAAAAATAATGCTAACATTTAGTTTCAGTACTGGTTTTAGTATCATTTAGTCGATTAATCTGCTTCTCTTAGTTGACAAAATTTGTATTAGTTGATTAATTATTTTATTCAGATTTTTGGAATTATATGCACAACAGCAGAGAGAAGGTTGGAGCTGGACAGTTTAATCTTCATTTTCACATATGAAAATGTCTTTCTAACAACTTTGAGTGTTTGACAGTGCCAAGTCGTGTTCCCTTTTAGAATAGTCATTGTACAGGGCATGTCTTTGTCTTCGACCAACAATGTCTTTAGTTAATATTTGGGACACATTTTGATTAGATTTTGACTGTACTATGCTTCAGCAGATTTAGTTTTTCAAACTGACATCACATCTATCTGGTGATAATGCATGAAGAACACAATCTTGTCAACAGCCAAAAACTCTCCAGCTATAGGTAGTCGCCAGCAGCACTGAAGTGTAGTGAATTGAATGAAGTGAATAGCAGTAGCAGCAGAATTACAAAACAGTGTAAACTATATAGATAAGGTCTATGAAAATATACATAAGTAGTATCTACACACAGCTTTAGATTAGAACCTATAGGGTTGTCAAAAATATCGAAAATCAGATAAAAATCTATATTAAAGATAGTATCAAAACTAGATACTAATCTGAGCAGGGACTGATAGTAAAAACACATTCACAGGACAGAAATGACCTGGACCTGAATAGCTTCAGAATAAATGAGATGTATCGGAACAAGACCACCAGTATACGCCAATGGGCCACTATGAAACCTACTTGTAGGATTGTAGGATTACAAAGATATAAGGCTACATGGTAATATCATTGCAGGATTGGAATTAGTATCGAGTCTATTCCTTAGTATCAAAATAAAGTTTGAAATTTTAGTATTGTGACCACTCTAGGACCTACACTAGTACCTCCACACACCATTACCCTCACAAAAATAAATTTAGAATATTTTCATTTTGGTAAAATAAATGGCAGTCTATTTAGAAAAATGTGCAATTGCGACTTTCCAAAATTAGGCTTTCTCTTTTTAAGAGACACTGGCCTGGGACGGTCATTAAGAAATGAATTAACTGCAGTGGTCTCTTTATGTTTTCCCAGAATCGCAGAGATGGACCATTAAAAAGCATGTGCCTGGCCTGTTTCAGTATCAGAGCACAGGCATTCGAAGATTAAATTTGTCTAAATAAATTGCGTTGTAAAAGCAGCCATAATGTTTTCAATTCAGAGTACGTCCAGGAGAGGAAGGTGAACTGAGTAGGGCACACTTGCCGCCAAGGCCATATGCCATAACTCATTGTAACAGTCCATCTCGCCAAGACTTTCCAGGCACGCCCGCTATTGATCTCTTTCTAAATTTAATGCTTTCGTCCTTGGCCTGCGCGTCACCCTCATATGAAGTTTCATGAATATCAGTTCTGTCATTTATACCATTATATTGGAAAAAAGACAAACAGGCAAGGACAATTAAAGTCTTTCAATGTTGTGGTTCAGACTTGGTGCAAGTTCAGTTTTTATGTGACACAAAAATAGAAGCTGTTAAACCAGTTTTTTGTCAGGGCTTAATAGTTTGTGGTGGCAAATGTTGTCATAAGAAACAATTTGATTTCCTTTGCAAGTCTAATGCCTTTCATCTAATCATATGGTCCCCACAAGTAAAGAGGTCTATGAAATAAATCAACTAAAATTAATTCACTCAAGTCAGTTTAATCTACAGCATACCTCCACTGGGACTAAACACAATCAATGATGGATTTAAGTTGCAGCCTACATAATAGAATCAAATAATATACGGGGTGCGTCTGTTGGCTTCATCTTAAGTTAATGCTTTAGGCTTAGTAAGAAGTTGCCAGGTGAAAGAAACATCCAATTAGTTTGAAAATGAATACAATAAATACAGGATTTAGATTTTTACTTTAACTATTACATAATTACAACTATATATTATATACTAATACTATATATTGCAAATTATGTAACAACACCTATATGCAACACCTGCATGCATCAATCTTAGGATTTCTAAAGTACGAGAACTTAGCTGGTTTATTTGCCACTGCATTACTGAAGAAAGTAAAAAATAAAATCCTAGTCTCATCGATTTGTTTATTCTAATATTAAGCAAATGTTTTATTAATTTTATGTATTCTTTATTTCAGACACAAATATTATTTGGTCCATAGTTTAAAAAAAGAAAGAACAGGATACAAAAAATATATACAAGGTAACCAAATTAGTCTATGAATGTGGAGTCTTGGTGCCCAGTGCTTTCTCAAAGCAGAGGTGTAAAGACATGAGCTCATTTGAGGGTTGGTCATTATGATGGCATCATGTGTAGGTTAAATGTCTAAGTAGTGTTTCAATAGTGAAGATGCCAGTGCCCACCAAATGATGATAGGCACTGTGTCATCTGGGCACCAGTTTATTTAAGTATAAAATAACATAGCTATGCAAACTATAATACTGACTAGTTTGCATTTCATTTGACAAATTTTCATTTCATAAGCAAAGCTAAATGTCGGCTAAATATTTAAATTATGTCTCAGCTGGTCAGTATTGCAGTTCAGCACTTGCAAGTATATGTGCTCTGGTCTAATTTGCATATTACTGCTGAAAGTATTTGTCGGCACTGGCAAAGTTTCAGGAGGGTTTGCCAAATGCCAATTCAGTAATTAGTCATATTGAAAACCACAAATTACAAAACTACTTTTGAAAATGAACACAATGTCATCAAATAAAAACTTGAGTTACTTAATCACTAAACAAAACATAAAAAAATAAAAAAATAAAGATATTGTACATCTATGTAGGCCTGTTATAAAAGGTGTTGAGTAAAATAAATGTACAATATTAACTTTGGTTTAATACGAATAATATGCATGCATTTTGCACATGTATATATATTTTTACAATACCTTTTACTTGTATATTTTCTTTACATTTGTATACAGCTTTTATGTCAAAGCATATGACTCATACTAGATACTAACACTTTCAATGATTCAATTTTTTTTGCAACTCAAGTTTTATTTACAATGTATTTGTTTTTTATATACTTGATTTTTATGTCAATGGCATAAAATAATTTCTATATCGGTGCAGCAAATCAAAGTTTGTAACAGTGACAGACCTATCACGCACTTGCTAGGGATTCAGAATACAAACTTCTTCAATACATTATGAAGATGTGAGTCTGGTCACTGGTGAATTTATAGACACGTGGATTCAACCTTGAGCAGTAAAATGGATTCCTGAGATATTTGTGAGTTCACAAACTCATGAGAATCTATCTTGGCTGATGTGCCAGGTGAGTGGCACACCAATCACAGAGCAGCATTGAAGTTTGTGTGGGGCCAAGGCAAAGCATGCAAGCAGACCAAAACAAACATGGCAATGCCAATAGATGTACTTCAGCCTATTTTAGCGTGAATACAGACGCTTTTGTTTGTAAAAAATTTCCAGAAGGTAAGCACTTTGTGGACAATAAAGATGTCTATGCTTTTCTCTCTGTGCTGGATGGAACAAAAGTTTGATTTTTTGTCTTGTTCCACTGTTATGACACTTTGACCATCCGTTTCAAATAGTTGTCATGACATGTTCCACGTTTCTCAACTGATTTCAGCATCACTGAACAAAAACATTTGATTGCACGATCGCGTTTAGTTGGAAGTGAGATATGATAAGAGAGGGTGGGGACCAGATTGATATCAATCTGTATTAAAAAAAAACAGGATGTATGTATAAATAACCCCTTATTTAGGCAGAGCTTCAGTACACTGTCTGTCAGCCATTTGGTTGTTGTCATTTATGACGTTGTACACAAATTATGCTGAATGAAATCAGTAGACTCAGTAGACTGTCAATAGGCATTATGTCATACAGGGAAAATTTGCATGTTTCAGAATGTCATGGGAATTGGCACGTTTATTTATGGATATGAGCATGACATGGTTAAAAAGGTAGGGAGTTACACAAGTTATGACAAGTCACCAAAGAGATTTTATTATAAATAAATAGGTCAGAAGAATTTGGGCATATTATTTGTTTGTTGCCGGGGAAATGGGGTAGTCATCCTTTTGCAATGGTTGCACTAAACTCTATGATCATAGACCCATGCTTTTGCTTTGACTTTTTCGTCAGTTTTATAGGGTAAAGCACTTGGGTCGTCTATAGTTGCCCTATTATGGAAAAAGACTGCTTTACCATCTTGTGGGATTGTTTGTGGTCAATATCACTTTGTTAACCTGGCTTATTTGATATTTTAGTCCAATGTGTTTACTTAACACAATGTGTTTATTAAACACAATTCATGAGTATGTTAAAAGATGATTCATTAAAATTTTACGTTTTCGTAACATTTCTTATATAACAACAAATTCACTTGTATAATTTAGCTGTTGGTACTTGATAGTTGGATCATTCTCAATAATAATTGTGTCACTTGAAATTTGCATACAGCACATTCAGTACAGGCAGGTCACTTATATTCAAAACCAGTTTTCCTTCCAATGGAAAAAATCACATCAAGTTGTCCATGCCACATCCCAAGACTGATTGTATAATTTTAAGCTAACAGTAGTATGTACATAGTAACCGAATAAAACAAAATACAGAATTTTACACCAGAATCCAACAAAAGAAGTTTCATATTGCACAGAGAATGATATAATGACACTGGAAAGGTTTTAAAATTATTCAGGTTTGGATTATTTTTCTGTATTATTTAATTGTTAAATAACTCTCTCTCTATATATATTTTTTTTAAAGAATTAACTTTTGTTTGTTTGTCGTAGAAATATCTCCCAAACTCAGCAAAAAAAAAGTATACAAAAAAAGGTACTGCAGGAGCCCCTTATATTCTCAGTTGTATCAGTGACAAAATGCCAATAAACTAGTGTGACATGAAAGAAAAGTATGTAGTTGATGAAGGGCCAAAGCCACTGTATGATCAAAACATGTTTTTCTCTGAACACAAAGATTCCTCAACAAACCCCCTCTTGCTATTGTCCACGGTCCAAATGGCTGTTTATTATTGTGACTCACCATCACCACCTACAGGCCAATTGACGCTAATGGGAAAAATCAGACAAAGGGGATGTTGAGGTAACTGGAAGCAAAATATAAATAAATTATATATTTTGCATAAAAAAATTAATAAATGTCCCCCTTTTTAATATTCACCAGGTATAAAGTAATACAGATAGATGGATTTTATTGTTTTAAAGTTCAAAATGGTTTACTAAAGTGACAAATGAGATTGCATATTGTTTAGGTTTTGTTATTGTAAGAGAATATATATTTTAAATATTTACTCTTATTTGTTTGTCAGACCTTAAAAAGAGTACGATGAGGTAATGTCTGATCTAAGGGTCTGCCGATCAGAGCAGTGAGGTCTTCCCAGAACAAAGCTGATGTCATTGTTGGTGTGCAACCTGTGAGTTGGTAATCAATGTAAACCACTCGGAGCTAATGATGTGAAAGCCTTGACAGCAAATCGGTCCGAGACAGCAACTAATTAGTGCCAAGTAATTAGTAGAAAATACATTACATTTGCTATTATAGATCAGGCAATTATTAATAATTTATGCTACCTGTGAATTGGATTTTTGTATTTTTTTTAAGTATCATATGGAAGTTTATTTAGTTATGTTATTTGTATGTAGAAAATACTGCTCTGTGGGCAATCAAAAACAGAAGAACGAGACAAAGAGAAGCAGAGGTAATAATTCACCTCTCTCAGCTGTTGCTCCACAATGCCTCTGTACTCCAGTGTCACCGGCTGCTCATCGGGGCCCTCTGCTGACAACATCTGGTTTGCAGAGCCCAACACATAACTGCAATATGAAATGGAACATGAATGAAAAAATATAACTGTGATACACATACATATCTCCATTTTTATACAATAAATAAATAGGGCACTTAGACTTGCATTTTTTTCAAGGCAAATGATGCAATTATATTGATCACATTTTAACATAAATAAATTGTGTATTTTTGTTTATTTATATTTATGTTTATTTATTCTTTGAAATATTTTTTCTTCCGTGTGCAGTGAATGATGATGTTGATGATGCTTAGCACTCCATAGGTTCCTAGCACAAGCAATGCAAAAATATAAATCTTAATTATTCAATTACAAAAGCTTATTATTATGTTAAGTTGCTTAGTTTAGTTTATTATTTGTCAGGGAACATGCACAAACACATTCATCTTATAAAATAGAAGATGCTTTGCAACAGATTTAGTAGAGAGCAAATTTTCATTTGTAGTCCCTGGGAAGAATAGTCTGTGGTCATAGGATGGTTTCTTTCATGAATGAACATACCTGTCAATGTCTGCTACATTGAGGCAGAAGGTATACCTCTTGTGGTCCAGTTGCTTGGGTGTAGACGAATAAACCACTCCAATCACAGAACGACATCCTTGACAAATGAGGTCCACAACCAGACTGTCAAAACATTAGATTCAGTTACATTATATTATTCAGTATATCCATAACAGAATAGTAAAGTTATGCCGTCACACTAAGTCATATCATTTTAGCACAGAGGAGCACCTACCATGGAGATTTTTTGTCTGGTTCATACATACGTTTCTCCTTTCCAACCACGACATTATCAGTAATTTCTATGATTAAAACATACAATGGGATTCATATTAGTATACAGTCACCATACAGGCCAAATAGAAAACGTTTAAATTAAAGGCATAAGAAACAAAATGCATGTATACTTTTTAAACGTATTTGATTCTGGGAGTCCTCACTACCATCCCACGAGAAGGAGTCACCGACGGGCAGCTTACATTTCCCGCAGAAAAACACTACAGGCCCGTCATCATCCGCTTCTTCTTCTTCGTTGTGTCCAAATAACCTTTCTTCAATAATTGAGGGGTTTGTACTTGTGTCAAAAGTCTTATCTAGAGATTCAGCAGGGTGTTGTTGAGCTATTTTTTCTCTGGTCGCCATCTGAACTTCTGTCCCACACTTTTTTGAACTCTCGAGTAGGCGGAGATAGAAAAATATAATACAACTCGTTTCCGTCTTCGTTTTTGAGTTAGAATCTGGTTTGTATTTCCATTTTATGCTGAACACTTGCACATACATTAGTGCACATGCTATAGATCGATATAATGATTTTCATATTGTACAGGGAGTGATTTAAATTAGTCACAGTGGCTATTTTGTGCCGTAAGTTCTCATGCCATATGTTTCTAAGATTTTATCTCGCTTGGGGCATGTATTATCTTTGTAAAGCACGGAACGGATATCAAGTCCGGCGCCTCTGATTGGATAATAACACGGAAGACATTTTGGGGCGGGAAATGAAAAGTAACGCGAAAAAAAAAAAAAATCCCTCGTTTGTTGACATTCAGCTGACACATCCATTTAGAACATTTGTTTCGTCTTTAAAAATGTGTGAGAAGATGAAAAAGGTAGTATACCTTTAAAATCGTCTAGCAACATTGTGGGTGCTGTTTTAGTTTAATTATCCTTTGTTTTCGGCAGGTCAACAGCTGGCTGAGTACAGTGTTTGGGGATCAGCCTGTGCCGCAGTTTGAGGTGAACACTCGGACAGTGGACGTGCTTTATCAGCTTGCCCAGTTCAGTGAGGCTCGGTGTGGGGACACGGAACTGCTCATTGAAGACCTTAACCAGAAAGCATCAGAATATCAGGCCGACAGTGAGTTTTGTAATATAAACATTTCTACATGAGATGCGCATGTAAATCTTAAAGTGACAGGTCGTCTTCTTTTACATGATTCCATTAGATGTGGTTCATAACTTGATTTATACCTTTTTATTATTATTTTTGCTCTCATATTTTTTTCTATCTGTCTCCATTGTGTAGGTGCTTATTACCAGGATGTTCTTTTACAAGGTGTTGGCCTTTCTTGTGCAAGTCTATCACGGTCATGTGCAGACTATCTAGCTACTTTAGTGGACAATGCAATGACTCTGGCCATTAGAGACATCTCTCTGGGAAAGTATGTTTTCATCAAGCTGCTGGTGCAAGAAAAAAAATTATCTGGCTGTAACACAGGAACTTACTTTCTTATCTTCAGCTTTCTTCCAGCTGTGAATAACCTTTCTAATGAACTGCTTGAAGCGGAGAAGTCAGACAGACATCTTGAACGAGACCTCAAGGCTCTGAGAAAGAGGCTTGGTACTACTTTGGTTCTCCGTGGGAACTTACAAGAGTAGTTTTTTTTCTATATTAACCTCAGTGTGAATATTGCATATTATATTTATTATTCATATCTTGACATCATAGGGACATCAACAAAAGTGTAAAAACACAGGCTGTGGAAAGTGCGAAAGCAGAGGAAAAATTACTCAACATGGATTTTGTGACAACAAAAGCAAAAGAGCTCAGACACAGGCGGGAGAGAGCAGAGGTATTCCTCCCAAGCCACTTAGTGTTTTGTCATTTTTAAACTTCTCATTTGATTTTGAAAGGGGTGGGGAAAAAAATGTTTTTTGATCCATAATTTGATAAAGTTATCAAGTTACAATACCAAGGAAGTTAAAATACAAACCCATTCAACAAGAGAATAAAAGACATGAAATATTCCCATCTTTAAAATATGAACATAGCTGTACAGTTTAATTTGTACTGTGTGTGTAGTTGTAGCCTTGTTAGTATTTGCTTGAATGCCAAAAGCTGTGCAATGCCAAAGATTTGTCTCGCTTTGAATTGTACAGGCTCAGCTTTTGTCCAGGAACATGGATAAGTCTTTGACCCACCAATCCATAGTGCAACTGTCACAGGTAAATGTATTTTTACGCTTTCTAATGTGAATACAATTCTGTTTTACTGTAGTGATGTATCTTTGTTTTCTGTCCTTTCAGGAAGTCACTGCATTGAAACAAGAAATTGTTCCCTTAAAGAAGAAATTGGAGCCTTATATGGACTTGTGCCCAGTATGTTTTTTTTTCTTTCTTTTCACTTTGATACTACCTTGTAAAAAGTCAAGGTGTTACTGTTGTTTCTAAGTTTCTAGGCCACCCCATTGTGTTGGTAATCTGGATAGTCAGTGTGTAAAGGTTAAGAAAATGAAAAGCAATGGTTTGATATTCTCACAGTGAACATTAACAGTAGGCTATATAAGATGGTCTCATTGTAAAAGAAAATAATTTTAGTTTTAGTTTCATTTTAGTTTCTTACTGATAAATACGTATTTCATTAGAAATGAGTTTTTTTTTCATGTCCATTTCATTTCTAACAGAACCCATCCCTTGCTCAAGTGAAAATTCTAGAAGCAAAAACAGAATTGGTGAGTATAAAATTGCAGAAGCAAAAGGTCTAGATAATTGTTGCTCACTTAAGGTATTTCTTAATTTCAGGCATCACTTGACTCCAAACTAGAGATGGACATGGAGTTTAAATGAATGTTATTTGTCAGATTTTATTTATGTCTGAATTAGAAAATAAAGCAAATGTGTATCTTGCATGTTGAGCTTCATTGTGGTATTTTTGTTCTGTAAACCTGGCAATTCCCATGCGACATGTCTAAGTTTGAACTGAATGTTCATTTTGCTTCATTCTTTCCTAGTCCAAATATAAAAAGTTGATATTCATCTTCTTAGTTTACCCTTTTTTAATATTTCTATACACAAACTCAAAACATTGACAACAAAATTCCCCTGGCTTGTGTGGGATAAAGTGCTTGAATGGGACTTGAAGCTACTCCCTAGGTGCCTAAAGCTATAAGTGCAGAGAAGGGTTGAAATTAGGAGGCCCTCTGTCCATTCTGTATGTTAAATCTTACTCCCCCTGTGAGCCTCCTCTGTGTGGGACACCCCGACATCTGTGTTAGCTTGACTCTTGTATGCCGGACATGCAGAGTGACCGTTACCATGGAGGGGGTCCCGGATTTGGGAAAAAGAAAAGCTATGTACTTGATAGACACTTATTCAGACGAGCTGTCTGGATATAGAATGTTCAATTGAGGCATTTAAAACGACAAAATACTATACATATTTTGGGTTGGGGAAAAGCAGGCTACCTAGGTGTAATAGGCCAGCTGTGAAAGTGAATTTAAATTGTCCGTGCCTTAGTGATTTTTTTTTTTTTTTAAACCAAATCTCCGTTCTGATGCAAACATCTCCATTTATCCAGGTTTATTTAGACACATCTTACAGGTCAAAATACAGCAAAATGTAGGACTCCCAAATAAGGAGACTGAACGCGCCAATCAGTGCAAAATGAAATACTACGCATGGAACTTATTCCTTATGCCCTTATCCAAAACGTAAACACGTGCCTCCGCCGTGGGTAAAGGCTCCAACCAGTGCGTCATTCCCCTGTCTACCCCTCTCTCCCTCTAAAATAGTTTTATCTGCCACGCCCACGCCACAATTTCCTCTCAGCTGTTACTGTAAGTCGCTTTCTCTTTCCTCGTGAGTGTTATCCATTCACAAATATTCTGGCTTTAACGCAGTTGCGGGGTCCAGTTGTACGTGTGCACTCGTGTCGCCTGTCAACTTCAAACTACTTGTTGCGCAGCTACTATTTTGAGCCTGCCTCTGTGGTCCATTACCGCGAGCCACGGGGCCAACTACACTTCATCTTCCACTCAAAGAATTTCTAAGAACTTGGATAAGGAAACCCCGTATTTCTAACTACAGTTGTATCGCGGAACTAATGGGGTGGGCAGGTAAAGCCGCATTCGTACGCAACGCAGTGAACAGGATTTGGCCCTCAGTGGACCGTTTAATGCGCAGTCGAGTTTCTTTAATATGATTACAGACACGAGGGGGGAAAGTCATGAGCTGGATGCGCCCTGGGCACGGGCTGGACTTGAGCCATAGTCTCTTCTACCTGAGTTTACTGTTGTGGGTCAGACGCATCAACGGACTGGCAGACTTCTCCAGTAAGATGAGTAGCCTGCTTTACAGATGCACTGTGTAAATTTCTGGTGGAGGGTCTGCTACCTGCTTGTCTCTATGGAGGTGATATAGCTATACCTGAAATCTTCCACAGTATGGCATTAAATCAGTATCCATGAAGACAAAGTTACGGTTCAGATCTGTGGAGAGGCAAGTCCACTCACACTGAATGTACGCAAGAATGTATGCTTTTTATGAGCAATAAAAACTCATGTAAGTGAATAAATGCAAGATGGGTTTAATGCCAAACCTTTTCTTTGGAATCCATGGAGACATAGACAGGTAATGGATGCTCTGCCAGAAAAGTTACATAGCGCATCTTTAGACTAGATTTGGTCCTGGTTTGGTTCATTATATTACATTACTTTTTGTTATTAACGTGATTGCATGTGTCTACATTTCAGACTACCTGTCTAGGATCATTACCAGTCACTCCACTCATGCCTGTGATGGTCAGCCCCTGCGTCTCTACTGCCCCAGACACTCCACCATCTCCATCCAGTCAGCCTTCTATGGCAGCGGAGAGGCACAGCTGTGCCAAAAACCAGACTCCTCACACCCGCACCGAAACCACAGCTGCTCTGCTTTTACTGCTCTACAGGTGCACTTTATGAAAGGGGAAGTCAATGTTTTTGTCATTGAAGGGGAATGGGTAGGGATTAGGGAACAGCGTGTTATTCAGTTATTGAGATGTGCTGCTGTCCGTATGTTTTCAAGCTTTGGTTTATAAGTGTGATACAAATGCCAGGATATATTATAGGACCACTATTTATAATCAGGCATTGCACAGTTGTGTGTCATTTGTTCAACAACTAATCTTATACTGTACAGAACATGACTACTTTGATGAGATATAAAATTATAATACAGTGTTTGATTGCCATTTTCATTCAAATGAGAAATATTTACAAGCTATATAGTTACATTTACATCAAAACCAGTTTCCTAAAAAGATTACAGGAACACATGGACTTCTTTCACTATGACATTGACACATGACATTTGTGGCTGGTCACTCGTCATTGTCTGATAATTTGTGCTCTATTCTTAAACACTGTATAATATATATTCATATTTTACAGAAACTTCTAAGTGAGTGTCAAAGCCATAGACATTGCCAGCTTTCTGTGAACCATCTGCTATTTGGGAAAGACCCATGTCCAGGCACCACCAAATACCTCCATGTAGACTACAAGTGCAAACCAAGTAGGTCCAAGGGTCTTTTTTGCCCTTACCTGCCACAACCATTTCAGATAATTCACATTTTGTTGGTTATTAAATGTTATTTAATAAAATATATGGTTTTAAGTAAGCCAGAATCAATAGTCCAAAGACGTTCATTTGGTCTTCCGACAGTTTATGTTATTAGGTTCTTTTTTCAGACCAAGACCACTCTTGATCTATAAAAAGAACCTAATAACATCACAGCCGGAATAAAGTTGAGACCAGCACAAAGCAGGGCAATAGAGAATATCTAACATAACAAATCCAAACAAGAAGATCTCATAGTCTTTGCAAATATTGTCTTACATTCCCACCATTCTTTCTGGTTCATTAGTGCCGTCTTCTCTCTCCTCAGCTGAGCACAAACAACATGTGGCATGTGATGGAGAGAGTCTGGTCCTGCGTTGTAAGTCCCCAAAGGTGCTCAACATCTACGCAGCTGTTTATGGGAGAGGTTTGGGTCAGAGCCTCACCTGCCCCTCAAACAAGACCTTACCACATTCGTTTGGTGAGAATTTATTATTTATTCTTTTACGTCTCTTCATTATGGTTTGATACAGTATATAGTAGAGGTTTGGTCGACAATTTCAACTCAGTTGAAACTGCATTCAGTTGCAATAACAAAAGTATTTTCTATTTAGAGAAAACTCTGTCTTTTTTTCTTTTCTCCACAGAGTGTCTCAACCATGAAGTGGTACATTTTGTTTCCAAGTCATGCTACAACAAACAAAAGTGTGCTGTTGTCGTCAGTAACCAGACCTTTAGAGACCCTTGCTTCCCAGGAACCAGGAAGTACCTCAGCGTGCTCTATTCTTGTGGTAGGCGTCTTGATACTTTCCCAAGCACACATTATTATCCCATATAACAAATATAAAGTCCAAAGGAAGTTATGTCATGCATGTTCTTGTGATTACCCTGTTCATTATGTGGCATGCTTCTACAGTTTCCCTTCACTGATCCTTATCTATCACTCTTATTGGCTTTTCTTATCACACTCCCTAAAACAGGGACTGGGGAATAATAGATGATAGACTGGATTGGGCTGAAAGACTGACTTCCTGCTAAACTTCCTGTGATTGGCACAGATGCCAATGAGCTCATGCAGCTTTATTGTTCATGGATTATACTTGATATCAGATGTGAGCTGAGCATGCTGCTGAAATATTTCCTTACATGCACACTGGCACCAACTGCACAGACCTTTAGCAAGAGGTCTTGTATTCTCTGGCCAAAAACAAGCTACACATCTCCGTCCAAAAACTGTTGCACTTTCTGGTGGAGTTTCCGTCACATGCTTGTGTAATTGCTTTGCCTGTAATATTCAGTATGGCAATAAACTTATCTATCCATAGAGGTATGCAAGTGGCACTACCAGGTGCCTGATGTGACCTGTACCAAGTTACAGGTCACATCATTGTAGAGGCTAGTCGGTTTACAGTAAGAATGCATGTTTTTCAAGATTAACATCTGCAATTGATTAATGGACCTTCTACCAGAAAAACATATATTTTTCATCATTTAAATTCTTACAACATTTCAAATACAGTGACATATTATAAAAAATTGTAGGGGCAGGAGTGATACTTTGATGTGTAGAGATTGTGCAAAATTGTCCTTTTGGTGCTTTTCATTGTAAGGATCAGTTTCAAATACAAAGTTGAAAAAGCTGAGGCACTCAAAGTACAAAATAATTAAAAGCCTTTAATACCATACGGCAGATAAAGTAAAAATAATGCCAACATTTTTGTATGGTGGTACTAATGGGCAGTCTTGCCCTGATGAAGGCTGAAGGATGAAAGCCGAAATTTATTTGCCATGTGGTATTAAAGACTTTTAATTATTTTGTATCATTCAGGTTTTCTCATATTTCTTTGTCATTTTGATCATCAAGTTTAAACTTAAAACATCTGAATTGACATCCAATACTGTTTTTGTAGTACCCCAGAATTTACTGAGAGAGGCAGACCCCAGCATATTTAAATCCACCTCTCCTCCCCCTGTGGACAGAAAAGAAGGTAAAACTATCAGACCAAATGTTGTGGCTTGACATTTTGTGGCATTTTGTCCCATTTCCATTCTTCATCCAGACAAGCCTGATGTTTTCCCAAAGGACTCCAGAAGGCCAGAGGCTTCAGGGGCAGTGATGAGTGACTCACTGTCAGCCTATGCCTATATTAAAGGTAAAGATTACATACAAACACAACTTCAGTACATCAAGAAAAAGGATGTGAAAAATATTTCTGCAAGTTAATTATTTATGACAGAACCCAAAGTTAAATAATAAATAATCAAAAAATAATAAATAAATGATGCTTATTCTGTAAGGCAATAGAGAAATAACCATCACAAATTTACACTCACTGACTAGCTGAATACTAAAAAGTAATTGGAGAGCACATTATGGGGCCAAACAATGTGGTTTGTACCTGGGGCCCAGTATTTTATGCTACACCCCTGTTGACTGCAGTCCTAACTGAAGGATAGTTCAGAGAGCAGAGTAAACTGATAAGACTATTACTAGACTGCTACTAGATTTTTTTTAAACTATTGTAAATTACTGTACTCAAATGTATTCAAGTAAATAACAAATAATTAAAAACAAAACTATTGCCTACCCAAGGACCTTCTGAAAAGCACACTTTTATTCTCCTCAGAGCACTCAGAGATGGCAGCTCTGCTCTTCACCTCCAGTGTTTGTGTGGGCCTGCTCCTCACACTGCTGGCCCTGTCAATACGAGTAACATGCTGGTGTCACCGGACCAGAGATCACAGACCAAAACGTGAAAGACCAGTCAAGAAACGGGAGGAAGAGGAAGTTAGTGATGATGAAGATGAAACGGGGAGCTCTTTAGTCTCGGAGGGGGAGAGGAAGACTGTTGTTGGGTGGGAGGAGGTGGCATTTGTGAGTGAAGCAGCAGAGCGAGCAGAGAGAATAGAACGCAGAGACATGATCATTCAGGAGATCTGGATGAACGCTTATCTGAACGGTGGCTCGTGTGAAGCCCTCTGAACCAAGACACCAATGATTCAAGAACTGTTTTGTAACTTTTTGTATCCTTCTACATTTTTAAGTATATTTAAAATTTTATAATATATTTTTGACACTGAGGCATCCATCAGAAGTTGGGGCCTTTTTTGTACTGTTTTTCTAAAATGTTTCTTTTTATCCCAGTAACCTAAGACAAATTCAGATTTTGGTATTTGTTTATAAGAGGTAAAACAAGATAATATTGTACAATATCATATTGTAGAACATGTGTTAGTTTTAAAAGAAATTAGGTGTATTCAGTGTTATATTTATTCACCACAGAGTTAAGCTACAAGTCAAAAACACTGTATAAAGGGCTGTTACAACTTACAATACTTGTAGGGCTACATGAATTTGAAAAAAAAAAAGCTGATAAGATGTGTTATTTGCTATTTGCTGATAAGCATTGTGACGGAGCGCTCCATCACAAGCATATTTACATACTAATAAGTAAACATGTCCAGAAGCAAGGGCTGAAATATGAACTGCTTAAATAATACAACAGAATAACAACAAAACCATGTGCAATAGGGTTTCCCCAGGGGCCAAGACTCCCTGGACTGCAGGACTATCTTGGTTAAATAGACTAAATAAGGTTACATTCATTACAGAAAATATTTGTAAAGGTCTAAAGAAGAGGGTATAACTTAAATAATTGTTTTCTTTCCAATTGTGATTCGATTGTGTTCTTGAGCCTTGTGTTCTTGATTATTATTCTTGCCGTGTTGATGGCATCTGTGTCCATGTAGAAACTGAGTCTGGAGAGCCAGTTACTAAGCAGTGTCAATCTATTTGCAGTATATTATATTTGATGCAATAAAGGTTAAACTTTAAATAAAACAACTTGCCAAAGAGCATGTGACTAGTTATTCAAAACGATGTCAATAAACTAGTACACTTTTTTTTTTTTTAAACTAGGTAATTAATGAACTAAATATAATAAATATAATTTTATCAAGTCAAGAAGTACAAATATCCAGTAACAACAGACAAAGAATCGGTGTAGTGTCCACACAGGTGCACTGGATGCACTGTTGTAGTATTGTATGTAATGAAGTAAAATGCACAAATTTGGTGCAACATAATCAATGACAGGACAGATTCTCACTCTTTTAAGTGATATTTTATTGAATAATAATGTATATGCAAACCAATGTATGTGTTATGAGCAAATGTGAGAGTGGATTTCCATTAGCTGGGCACCAATACTGAAAGTGGAAAATGGTTATCCACTTCTCACTTTTTACGTCCACATGTGAGAGGGAAATCCTGAACCCAGTGAACCCCAGGTGGCCATAAGAAAGGATATGAAAAATATCTACTGGCTTTAAAACAATATAAAAAGTAACAATGGATACCAGTTTTAGGAACGAATATTGCATTTACTTTCTAATAACATATCTGATGTTTTACTTTTATTATTATAAGATCAACTAAAAAAGAGGAACAAGTCTGTATTAAAGCCATTCTAACTTGCATGGCTCAGTGGTAAGACCTAATAGTCAGAACAGTCAGAGCAGCAGTTTGGAGGCATGCCACATGTACCAGTTTTAGACTTCATCTTGGTCCCCATTTGATGTTGGTTAAGCCTTGAAACTGTCTTTTGAGAGCCTGTCTATCTGACCAATCAGAGTCCAGGTAGCTGTCGTCATCGGCCTCCTCCAGTTTCTATGAAAACACACACAAAGAATAATCTTATTTAGGAAAACTATTTGTGGGGGATTGTAAAATGTTGCAAAAACAAAACAACTATCAGTATCTGTCCCCTACCTTGAGTTCCTCTTGTCTCCTGTGGTAGTGCATCACCATCTGTTTGTGCTGTTCCTCAGTGATCAATGGCTCCCTTGCTGGTGCCCCCTGGCCTTTCTACATGGGACAACAAGTGCATTCATAACAAAATTCAACATAGTGCATAGTATTGAAACATAAAAATTGGGATGTTTCTAACCTTCTGAATTTTTACCAAAATTTTTGTCTTCTCGTTCTTGCCTATGTAGTCCTGGAGCTTTTTCCCTCTCTGCATCTCTTTAGCAGCCCACCACAGCTGACAGTCCTCCTCAGGAACAACTTGAAGAGACGCCTTTAAGTGTAGTGCATCACAGTAGATAACGCAAGGTAATGAACAAAAATTACAGTAACTTACACTAAATTGATATTTATGGTAATATGCAAAGTAATATTTGTTTTTAAATGGTATAAAGCACATTATTTTAAAATACACAGACAATGCTATGGAAAAGGAGAAATATCTGCTTCTCAGGAAAAGATTATTGATTTATTGTTAGTCTGTTGGAGAACTATTAACTAAGATAATAGGATTCAATCAATTTTTGATGATTCTGCAATTTTGTGCAAAAGATATTAACCTCAAGCTAAAGGAATCTGTAAGATAACGGGTTTCTATCCCATCATGAGCATGGCTCAATCAATAAAAGATCATCACTGAGTAAGGATGTCCGTGTATAATTGTTTGTCAAGTAAAATTATTGACCTGTGTTCCCGAAAGGTCTTCTCGGTCCTCCATCTCCATCCGGATGGGGTCATGTGGAGGCAGGCCCATGGGATAAACAATCATCACAGCTCCTCTCAGCTGGTCGAGAGCCTCTTTCACCATGTCCATAGTGACACACACATTAGCCTGGACTTGTTTCTGTGACAGAACAAATGCTCATCTATTTAAGAGGTTAGACTATTAACAAATACATGCTACTGTGTAAATAATACATTACCTTTGAAATTAGCATTTTTGCTTCATCTACTGTTTTCATCAAAACCTCTTTCATTTTCTCATTTGGAGCTATTAAATAAAAATATGTACATATGAATGATTATTAATAATATTTTTTTTTTCACAAATGAGCTTTTACCATAAAAAAGTAAATGCACTACTGTGATGCACTGTGACACCACATATGCTCAGTGAGCATGCATGTATTGCATATTAAACAAAGGCTTACCTTGTCCATTCCTCTTTCCTATCTCATCCTGCCTCAGCACTGGACCGCCACTAGGAACACACTTCTCTTCCCATTCATCAATGAGCTTCAGCTCCACAATTTGATCCTCTGTTAGGCCCTGCATGTTTGGTGGTAAAGTGATGCCATGATCTGCCAGTTCTGCAATTTCTGTAGAAAGATAACATAAGTTTTATCAAAGCGACAAACCAAAGCAATATATGTACAGCAGTGGTATTGATTATGATGATCATGTGAATGTCTCTGGTAGTGTTGACTTATATAGCCAATTTATTCTTGTTTGGGGTCTTCTCTGGCTATCCCAGTTCAGGTGAAGGTTTGGTTAAAATGATTATTGATTTATGCAGTATTTTCAGTTATGTCGAGACTGATCTAGGTATAATTTCTGATGCAAAGCCAAGCCAAACAATCCACTACATACCATGTGGGTATCATATTCACCTGCACATATTCTCTTCACCTTGAGCCTCCCATTGTAAATAGAAGTAACTTGCTGGATTACGGTCTCCAGAGGCGCGTCCACAGAAGTGTTGAACAAAAACTGGCTTTCGTCTCCTCTTTTCACATGCAACTGCACCATTTTGCTGTCTTCTGTTCCCCCTTCACCTCCTGGAAGCTGGAAAAAAAACTTTACAGGATCAAGAAGAACGGTGGGGTAAAACGCGAGGCTGACCATTCAAAGTTTGGGACGCGGTGTAACCATGGCAACAGAAGTGGCTGCTGTAGATACTTCCAGAAAACATCACATGCTAACTGCTATTGCTATGAACCACTGGATAAAGAAAACAACGACGGCGTCAACTTCAGTTTACGGACCACAGGGCTCTCAATAGAACAACAGACGTGGCTTACTTTAAATATGCTTAAAATAACCAAATCTACCTTTTAAACTATTTCTAAATAACATCACAGTGGCTAGCCAGAGCTACTAATGTTTTGCTTCCTCGTACCACAGAGATCTCGTGTTCCCGTACAAGCTTGTATGGGCCCAGTAGTGCCATCGGGAGGTCAAAACGAGAACTACACAGTTACATATAAGTTATACCTGCTGGTTGTTAAATTGATCAGGTCGAGAGATACAATTTATAAAAGCTATCTTAAAAAAAACAAAAAAAAACTCCACTGTTCAGGTAAACATACATTTATTTTGCATACATACAACACAAACTGCTTCATACATAATGTGCAATCAGCTTTGCACATAAAATATAGAACCTTGATATTAACATGAATTACAGCTCCACATTTCACTGGAATACATACAGAATATGTTCAACAACACAGACTTATTTACTATGGATTATAGTTGTAAGAGGAGACACCAATCGTACACAGGGAGCAATGTTTCCTTAAAAAACATTTGGAATATGACACAAAGCGCTGGCTTGTCATCTAAGTTAATGCAAATACTGTACCTACTGCACACAGTGAATACACAATGGATGGGAGACAAGACTGAAGTGTGCATGTAAGCGAAGGCAACAATATACTTCTGCTTACATATGTTTTGAGTGCGTGATTTTAGATTATTGTCTTTATTTTACAATCATTTTAACAAAGCGCAAAAGTGTTACTTTAGCAGGTCCGTTCATAGATCATATATTGTTCTCAGTTTCAGATGTGTAATTTATTAAAGAAAATGCCCCCTGATCACACAAGCAGACCAGTTATAGAATCACTCACTCACCCTTTTGTAAAACTATTGCTTATTTATCACTGTCAGGTTCCTCACTGTGATTTTGTAAATAGAGAAAATACTAACATGCCACCCTGATACGACCTGGTCAAAGGTTTAGTAACAATTATTATAGCAGCTGAACAAGTGGATCCAAACACAGAGGAGAGGACACTCAACACACTGCAATTGAAATCACATTTGAAAAATAGGCCAAGGACACTACATATACAGAAATCAACAGAAAATTATGTCTGGGGAAATCCTATCAGTCAAATAGTTAATTAATTAGCTGTCTTAGGGAAAAAATAGTTATGATATAATCCATTTGAATGACTGCTATTTGAAACAAAGGTCCTTTGTTTGATAATATTAACACATCTGCATACAGTGATGCCCTCTCCTGCACAGATATGTGACATACTACTGGGACTGAATACAGTTTGACGTTTCTGAAAGTGTGAGCATTTACGCATATAAACACAACAACTTCCTGAGGGAAAGAATCCTCTCAAATTCACTGCCATTTCTGCACACACTCACAGCCGAGTACAGCATACTCCAATGTACGAACTAGAAGGACCTCAAACACAACACGCTATTTAATACCACAGTGTCAATACAATTCCATAGAGACGCGTTTTAAAAAATAAAATATATTTTTACATGAAATAAAATAAAACCTCTCATTACTGCAGTTCTGTGGAGGTGACATGCCCATCACCATCTAACAGCAGGTGCACACACATGCCCATAGCGCTCACTCTCTGTTTACATTAGTATTGTACGCTGCTTTGGATCAAACGCAGGATCGCAACATTGAAAATCCTCTCAGTCAATTCTCTGTATCACGGCTATCTACAATAATAAGTAGGATATGGCATTAGTGCATTCCTGTTACATAAACACGCATTTAGTTTCCATATTGAAAAGATTTTTATACATAAAATCACTATGTATCACTTTTTAATATAGAGCTACAAAATATATTTAGCGAAGCATAACAGCCTATTGATAGATTCTTTATGTAGAGATAACGTTTAGTCTGGCGGCAGTAAACTGACTCATTGCTGTTGCTCAGTGCAGCATCAGCTAGGAGCAAAGAACAAAACCCAGTGCGCACTAAATTACATTCATGATAAAAGTAAGCCTAACATTTTTGGTCACAAACAAATAAAACACATCACAGAAAGCAGCAACAGTAAATGTACAGTATATGAAAAGCTGCAGCGCAAACTCACAAAATCCATAATAATGTCTGCATGTTTGTGAATGCCTGTCAGCAATAAACTGGGTCAAATAAATACGATACCAAACACTGAATGCAGTGCTGATATTGCACAGTTGATGTGTGCATATAGATAATTAATATACTGCAGACACAGGCACAAGTTTGCTGCTGAAAAATTAAACATTAAAATTATTTGTGGTAAATATATGCATATGTTGTGGAATGAGCAGCTATGTTTGAAACATTTAGTTGTTAGTGTGATACTGAAACCCTTTTTTCATGAGTAATAACATGATATACTAAATTAAATACCGTCTCTTTTTTACATAAACACACACATATACACATGATAATAGATCTATACATATTATAATCTGCATATGCCCTTTATTTGATACCGGACCTATCGCTCTGTGGGCTCCTGTGAGAAGAAAAGGCCGTCAAGGGCTCCATCAGGGAGCTTTGGGACACTGGCTGTAGTTCTGGTCGGGATAGGAGGCGGAAGATTTGGGAATACTGAAGGAGTCGAAGTTAACCAGTCGGGTTCTGAGCTAAAAACCGAACGAGACGGAGGTTCAGTCTGCAAGCTTGTGGGGAACACAGGAGCTTGAGGTGCCATTTTTGTTGAAAATGCTGAATCATCATCAAATGTGACCCACTGCTTGTTTGGTTTTGCGGCGATGGATGGCTGCGACTGGCAAGAGGGTGCAAGAGGAGGAGGGAGCGAGGAGGGAGGAGCTACAGGCAGGCTAGGGGCAAGCGGTGTAGAATCGAGTGGAAATAATGTAGCAGGAGTTGGATTTAACGGCGATCCAAATAAGGAAGCAGATTTTTGTAACTGTGGAGCTGCTGCAGGAGTAGGGACAAGCGGTTGGGTAAAGGCAGACATTGTCCTGTGAAGATTTGCATGTTGCTGGACACTAAAATCGGGAGTTAAGGATCGACGTGGTTCATGTTGCTGGACTAGGGGACCCGTGAAGGGGTTCGTGCTACTGGGTCGCGCCGGTAGCAGGTCGGCGGGGAAAGGACCAGGAGATGCACGTAGGGTCTCCTGTGAGCGACTCCGTGATGGGACTGGAGGAGGAGGAGGCAGCAACACAGAGGTGAAGGGAGAGGGAGTGGATAGAGAAGACGAAGAGGAGGAGGACTCAAACTGGTCACTGAAGGCTGAAGACTGAAGGGAGAACGACGAGGGGAGAGTGTTTGAGGTGGAGGCAGAGGAGGGGACTGGTGGGGGACAGTGTAGAGAGGAGCCCCGCGTCAGGGACTGTGTGTTCTGCCATTTTGAGGAAGAGGAGGAAGAGGAGAGGAAGTCAGATGTGAGGGCTTCAAAGGGGTCGGGCTTCCATTGTGCTTCTCTTTGGATTCCATTCAGTCCATTGGTCTAAAAAGAAAAGGTCAAAAATGCTCATTCACTTCACAACGATGGGCAACTTTAGCTACTACAGGGATAATACCTAGAGGAGATTTTGTAATGACTGTTAAGTAACAAAATCTAAATAAGCATCACTAAATACATTTCAATAGGCTCTACAAGCAAGTTGTATTTACCCAAAAGACTAGCATTTGAATCTCCACGAGGTATGGTCATACAGTTACAAATGCTAATTCAAAAATCATACCAATGACACATGTCAAAATAAAAACCGAGAAAAATGTCATGTCATATGTGCTCATACCTAATAAGCCAATATGAAAGGACCGATGTTGACAAACAACATTACAATGCCAAAAACTGTTACTATGTTGTGAGAGCCTGCAATACTCAAAACACAAAGTAATGCAGGCTTGCAGTGATCAAACAATACAGTTTAAATTAAAGAAAATTTAAAGAAAAATTTGAAAAGGAAGAAAAACAAACTGAAAGGAGGGAATGTGTGGTCATAACATTGGACCAGAGGGCAGAGGATCTACTGACGATGAAAGGAGTTAATGTCAAGTACCTGTCACCCTGAGGGCTTCTCCGGCTTGTGAGAAAGAGACACATGTTTTAGAAAGACAAAAGCAGGAAGAAAGACACACTACAATAAAGCAGCAGCAAAACAAGAGGCAGTGTTTAAGCACAAGCTTGAATATGCAGAGGTTAAAAAATTTCTTAACCTTATTGTTTAGAATATTGGTTAGAATTTTATCAAATATAATAGGACTATAATAGGAATATCTGACAATATACAACCTGATTTTACTGTCTTATTTGCTAATGATATAATTTCATAGAAACACACCTGTGAAGCAGAGGCTGAGTCGGACTTGGAGGCGTCCGGTGGCAGGGCGTGGTGAGACCGAGACCGTGGGGGAGGTTTGGGGGAGGCCAGGGCTTGTGGCGGTCCTGCTTGAGCAGGGGCAGTAGCAGCAGGTGGGGCAGCTTGTTGAGGCTGCAGTGGAGTGGGGAGTGAGGGCTGCATGGGCGGGGGCAGCTGAGGTGCAGGGGCACTGGGCTGAGGCTGCATGGGGGCAGGCATGGAGGAGGCAGCTGAGGGTCTCGCTGGAGCAACAGGCCCAGAAAGAGGAGGTCCTGAGGGTCCTAATGGGGGAGGGCCACTCGACGGAGGACCTGTCAATGATGAGAAATTAAATTAGTAGGTCTTTTACATTGCCCTTTGTGCCAGAGATTTAAATATAGGCTTGTGCGAGTAAAATCTGCAGAAATGAGCTTCCCCCTTCTGTGGTATTGTTTTTAATGACTGTAAACCACTTGGTGTTATATTTTGTATGAAAATCAGTTCATAAACAGTTTGATTTGATTTCCTCAAAGGTGCAGACTAGGTAAAAATGCAGATGGACAAATAACTGACTATACTGAAATATGTCTATTCTCAGCTGAGAGGTAAAAATATCAATTTTGCACATGTCAATTATGGCCTAGCTCTTTCTCATATGGCAAATAATCAGAATTACTTTGCAAATGTCCATAAATAACCTTTTACAAATATCCTCTTACCTGGGGGCAGATCAGGCTGTTTGGCCTGGGCAGTGGGCACAGGTCTTGGTGCTCCAGGGTGAGTGTCTGGAATTGGCCGTGGTGCCCCAGGATGAACCTCTGGGATGGGTCTGGGAGCTCCTGGATGGGAGGGAGGGGGAGGTCGAGACTGTGGAGGCATACTGATCACCCCAGCACGCGGAGGGATATTCTGAAGAGAGGGGAGTAGAAATGTATTTGACTTGTTTCAGTAATAATTTAAATCCAATGTAAATACAATCATTCAGACTCACAGGTCTGGAGGGCCCAGGTGCTCCTGCTGCTGTCTGTCCTCTTCCTGAAAGATTTATGATAAAAAAGCAGCTATAAATGCGTAATTTGTATGTAATGCCCCCTACTAAAACCACAATGCCAAGAAAAGTGAATCAAAGTAAAATAAAGCAGGCCTGAAGAATAACTTTTACATAATCCACAAACTGGACCAATGCCCAGATGAGAAACAGACATTTTTGGCAGTCCTCATTATTAATGATAACCCTGCAATTCCTCAGCAGAAGGGAGTAGTACTTGTGATGTCCATGTCTGGAAATGTTTACAACATGGCTTTCAAACACTACTTTTCACTTTCTGAGCCTTAAAACCTAAAAAAGGTGTCTTCAAATCATTTGTAACTGCACTGTGACCAATACAAGTAGAATGACATCAGGGATACAAGCAATATTCAGTCCCCCCAGTGTCATCTAGACATGTTTTCTTAGCATCATGCCAGATATTATTCCGATGCCTCTTTTGCCTCTAGACAAATGAAAAGCAGTCAGATACATTTCATAATTATCTAAACACGAGATTCTCAAATTTGTCAAGCATATATTGCCACTCACCGGCAGCAGCGTCAGGGCGTTGAAGAGAAGGGCTTTTGGCTCCTTTGCAGCACAAATAAAACCAGCGCAAACCAGATTATTATTCACAATAGTCCAATACTACCAGCAAGGAGCAGCATATTCTCATAGACTACAGGTTCAGCTATAAGGATATCCCATTTTATCTTGCACACATACTAGTATTCTACCATTAGAATATTTGAAGAATAATTGGTTGTGTGTTGCCAACCAGATTATTCCAACCCCATTTCAAATTTACCTTAAAACCAGACAATGGTCACAGTCTACATTCCACCATCAATATCAAAACAACATTGATACTTTTTTAATCTACAGATTTCTGATGGTGGTGACTTGAGCTGTTACCTTCACTGCCTTTCATATCAAGAGGTGGGCTGACCGACACACCAGAGTCTTGAAATCAAACAGTTGACCAATTAAAAATCAAACACTTGTCAAACACCAAACATTCCAATCTAATTTACTTCATAGTGCGGTACAGACAATTTTATACTATGTAATATAGATCTCCTTTACAGAGCCAGCGTTCAAACATTCTGAAAGAGTGAAGGGGTCAAGGGGAGAAAACCTTCCCTTCACCCCCTTGTCTAAGTCAGTGCTGTTGAGTGTTGTACCTGAAGGAGGAGGCGGACGCTGAGGGGGTGCGGGTCGAGCAGGAGGGGCATTGGGGCGTGGTGGAGGGGGGCGTTTGGGCTCCAGAGTGCCAGCGGTAGGTGCCCCAGGCTGGAAGTCAACAGGAGGACCTAACAACAAATGCACAGGTATCAACAAGAATTAGACATAATATAGACATGAGACATTTATAATTTAAATGTGCAAAAATCCACCCAATTAAAAAAAGCTGTAGTTGATCCAATCAAACCACACAGTCAATCAAACTCTAATAATGCATATTCAGGATATGCATTTGATTGATGCACCACACAGTGCATTTTACCTGTACTTGACCGTCTGCGCCTGCGTACTGAGGAGCTTACATCTGCTTCCAAACATTGCAAAAACAACTGAATAAATATTCTTTTGGATACATAATGTTTCTATGTAACTAGCACTTCAAACAAAGAAAGTACAAAGGCAACAATGGGAATTATTTACTCTACTAACTCACTATAAACTGTGGTTAACTACTTAACCACAGATATGCCCAATGTGATTTTAGACATGTAGGCATAAAAGCTGCTGAGCTCACCAAGATAATCTCCACTGATTCAAACAAATAACACAAAAAATATCTGAACACATACTAAAGTATAATACCAAATAGACATTTACTTTTGACACACTTTACCTGACATTCGCCTGCGAAATGAATGTTTCCAAACATTACAGTGCAGTAAACACATTTGTTTAATAAGAAATAAAAAGTAAAACTACTTTTTTATATTTTGTCAAATACTGAAAATTCATATTGTAGACCAAGCAAGTGATTCTGTACACAGTGAACTAATATATAGTATTACATATTATCTTAAGCAAGAAATACACTAGTTACTACAAAGCATCACTAAAATGCCCAATGCCATATTAATAACAGCAATGAACAAAAAAACAAAACAAAACAAAAAAAAACTAAATAACAATGCACAACAAGCAAAAAGCCAGTCTATACCAATACTGGCTGTGTGATACTAAACAATTCCAAACAAATTTACCTGACTTGCGTCTGAGTGAAGGACTGAAATCTGTTTCCAAGCATTTATACAATAAAAAAAATAACTGTATTTAACATTTATCCGGTATGTGCAGGAGCTACACACACAACTCATATCCTAAACAATTACCACAGGGGCATTTACCTGACAGTCTCCTGTTTGGTGATAGACCCACGTCTGAATAACAAAATGCACAAACGTAATTAACAGATATTCTAATTTACTGCTTATGTTTATAACCTAGTTACAAGTGAAAAGCCACAATTATGATAACCAAGAAGTTGATATTAAAAACTAACAAAAAAATATATATTTTAAATATTATATACACTACTGCAATCCACTTTGACTTAGGATATATTCTAGATAGATCTCACCACACAGCTTTACCTGAGAGCCTCCTGTTGGTTGGTAGGCCCACATCTGATTGATGCATTAACAAAACATAGTAATACTTCAACATTTTGCGTATTTGTGTGCATGATCAAAGCAACAAGCAGCTCATGTACACTAGAGCCCGACCGATATATCGGTTGGCCGATATTATCGGCTGATATGGGCAACTTTGGGCATATCGGCTATCGGCCGATATGCTTGCTGATAGGGGCCGATATTTCACGTGGGCATGTTATACCTCGTTATAAAGCTTAGACTCTCTACATTCTGTTTATTTAATCCAATTTACAGACAGATAAATGTCCTAATATGTGGCTCCACATCTATTTATCTACGGAGTCATTTGTCTGTGTGTGTGTCGTACTGTCCCTGAACACACCACAGAGTCGCGTCACTCACGTGTGTTTGTTTACACCTGCAGACACAGATCCAAACACTGAGATTATATTCTTTTTACGGACAATAGGTTTGAGTCTGGATTAAAAGGACATTTATTATTGCAGATTTGTGATGTGAGGAGGAGCCTGTATGAGCGGTGAGTGTTGGAAATATGTCGACTCTGAAGCTAGTTTTTGTCATTTGTTATGGGTTAGCTGCTGTAGCTCCCGCACATAAACAGACTGTTTTCTATTGGTCTGTTCTAAAGTGACTATATTGGCCGTATATTTGCTACTGGACCTGCATTGATATGTAAATGAGCTGTGAATAGAGGTGTGAATTATGACATTTGCGCATATAATTAATTACTGCGGCGCGCACGTATTTACGGCTAAAGGCTAATAGCGCTACTTTCTTTACTAGTTATGGGTCCGTCGCGAACGAAATGACTCTTAGAACCGGCTCTTTGAAGGGAACGACGGGAGCCTGATCCTTATTGGGAGCCGTGTTTTCTCTTTTTCTCACTTTTTTTCTCTTCACGCCGCGTGATTCGTGGTTTGACAGCGGCTCAAAACGAAACTTTGAGAAATTTGCGTGTACGTAGGATTAAAAAAAAAAAACAAAAAAAAAAAACGAGCATATTTGACTGTAGTTTAGCATAAAATAAATAAGTCCCGGTTTAGTCCTTTTTCAGTCCTGGTTTAGACCTGGTTCAGTCCTGATTCAGTCCTGCTTTAGACGTGCTTTAGTCCTGCTTGCAACAAAACAATCTGAAGAGCCACTTGGGAGCCAAAAGAACCAGCAGCTTTTAGTGAGCCGAGCCAAAAGAGCCGGTTCTCTAAAAGAAACTGGAATACCCATCACTAGTGTCTAGAATGTGATGCAAAAATGCCATTAAGCCAACCTACTGTCTGTAAATATGATGTAAAGAGGCTGAATAACAATAAATGTTGCCTAAATAAACCCAATTTAAAATCCACCAGAGCCAAACCTAAGTTTTTTAAACAATTCAACATTTACAGTGAATTTTTACATCACTAAATATATCGGCAGCGCCAACTCCCATTATATTGGTTTCATATCGGCCACAGCAAAATCCATATCGGTCGGGCTCTAAAAACCTAAAAAGCCACAACAAGCTTTCTTAATCTAAACAGAGCTTAAACCACACAATATTGTATACCTGACAACCTCCTTGGTATTGATGGTGGACACAAGTCTGCTCCCATGAGTTGTGAACAAATTTTAAGTTCAGTTTATCAAATCTTGGGTCAAATATGGATAACAAATCATTTACCTTGTGAGGGTCTGGTGGGCTGTGCACCTCTATTGGGTCGGCATGGGGGTGCGGTCTCTCCAGTGGGGGAGGGACAGGGGCTGCCGCGAGGGGAGGGCAGAGGGGATGAGCCAGGACCCACACCTGCTCCGGGCTGCAAGTGCTGGGGCAGAATCTCTTCTACCTCCTCGTCTACTTCACCTGGTACACACAATGGACTGGAATTATTATTAAGTAGTAGCATTAATGCAGAAGCATTATTAATGCAGAAAAAATAACATCATGCAGTAGTAGTAGTATCATTAACAATCGCAAGCTGTCTTCAAAAAGGTAGATTTGGGGTAGAAATGTTCTTTCTAGTAAATCCCTTTATTCTTCAAGGCAAAAATCAGACTGCAGTGTGCTATCTGCATCAACTAATTAGGTGTTTTATTGATTGGAAGAAACCTGGAAGAAAGAGCAAGATTTTCTAGAATTGTCTGAGCACTGTCTTCACTTTCATGTAAGGGTTTGTGACAACTAGGAACTAGTTACATACTGTAGATTCAAATAACTACTTTTCATTTTGTTATATTTTTATCATTTAGTTTTACCATCCACCCTTACCCTCCATATCAAACTCATCATCGCCCATGTCGGTGTCCTCGGCAAGCAGAGTGGAGCTGGCAGAAGTGGGGATACTACCACAGATCCTCTCCACACTCATCTCCTCCTCCAGACTCTTGATCCAACCTGGACTTTTGAGACGAATATCAATCACTTTATCCAGGACCTACAATGTCAACAGGGTACATTGAATAAGACAGGAGCCAGACATGTGGACAACACATGCATAAATAAATTGGAAATAGACTTATTTACAGTGGAAGCACTAAGAGACAGGGCAGCCAGAGCAGAGTAACCTTCCAGGAAAGTCACCCACATCTTTTCCTCGACAAATCTAAAAAAGGACAAACAATAATGACATGATCACAATGACTTCTATTAACATGTAGGAAGTGTTTCAATGCTGAAATGTCAGACTCACCTGATCAGGATGACCTCGCCAAAATTAGCAAACTTGTCCAGCAACTCATCAATGAGAGCATCATCAAAGTAGTCGTCTGGGCCAGAGGAGCAGAGGGAGACCAGGATTGTGCCATCCGGTGGTCCTTGAAGGGCAATGACGTCTTTGTAAACCTGGTGCCTCGCCTCAGGGTCCACCTCCAGGATATTCACGTCTATCACAGCAACTACAGGCCTACAGGCAGGTAAGCACATAACAAGGGGAGTTTCGGTAAGAACTGTGCCAATAATAACATTTTAACTTTAACTGTAATTTAACTGATCATTTGGTTCAATTTTGTGGTAATAATGCTATGTTTGTGGATGCTGGGGTAGTTAAAGTGAAGGATGTTTAAAAAGGTACATATTTCCTACATTCATGAACACAAGATGTTAAATGATTGATGAAGGAATTGATTGAGGAAAAAGAAAATGCCATTTGGCATAGCAGTAGTTTTTTTCCCATACACAGGGACTAAAATACACAAATAAATACACAAATAGTCACCTATGATCTGAAGTCTTCAGCTCTGCTCTGCCGTAGTATTTGAGAGAACCAGGGCTCCAGGGTTGATTTGGATCATCTTCACATTCTCCAGCGACAGATGCTGCTCCCACTACATTCATCTCTTCAGCTGCAAAACACCAACTGTTGTTATTATACAAACATAGTAGATCATATAAAATTTTATTTTAAACTGTATTTCTCACCAGTTTGGTCGAAGTTCCATTTTCTTCTCTTCCACAGTATGCGGTCAGTCCAGGCTGGTGTGCGACACTTCTCACTGGTGTCATAGTCCTCAGAGAAAAGGTCATACTTATAGGTCGGAGCAAAATCCAATTTGCCCTCAATGAATTCTTTGAAAACCTGAAATATAATGAAAGAATTATTGGTCATTATCATATTAAACACATATATACAAACAATTTTGAAATCTATAGGTGACATGTAATGTTTGTGTTGATCTAGTGATAGCAAATAATTAACAAATGTACTATAAAAGTGTCCAGTGTGTACTGGAGTAAAAAATACACTGTATATACTTTTCTTGAAGAAAAGAGAAAGGAAAAGAGAAAAGAAAATACAACAATCAAGACATTTATGTCCAAAATGTGGTGTGAAGATTAAGCTCACCAATCCAGCGGTTTTCTGTTCAACCAGTTGGTCCCCGGCAGTCAGAGCATCCCAGTTCTGCTGTTTGATGAGCTCTTTGACCTCTTCATTAGGCAGGTTAATGCGATAGTTGAAGTCTCCACACCAGAAGACATAGTCATGTGAATCCAGCAACCGGCCCTGGTTATAATAATAAACACTTTAATTAAGCAACTGTATTCTTATTATAAATCATATCTTTGAATCACATTTTTGTACCATGGGGAAGCTGAGTTTACGAGAGATTTCATTGTAGTCATCATTCCTCTCTTTGACCTGTGATTGTCCAGCAGCAAAGTGGGAGCAGAGGAAGCAGATGCTGGTGGTGTGAAACAGCAGGCGGATGGCCACACCGCCTTTATTACCTGTGGCCCCACCCATTCCAGTTTTTACAGTATCTACTGCAACATCCCTGGAAATCAAACACAATTCATAGCAATGCCTAATAGAATAGGCTCTTATAGAAAGTAGAGCACTGTAGCATAATAAATAAGTACTGTATGCCGTGTTGTGGTACCTGATATAAGGGGCATGTTGCGGACGAATGAATACAAACAAACACACGCCAACCAGCTGCTCTGAGGCAAGCAGCACGTATTTATGGTCCCGGGAGATATTCTTCTGTAACTCAGCTGCCCAAAGTTTTTGATTTGTAGTACTGGTGGGGAAACAAAAAGCATTACAACTTGGTTAAGTAGAATAAATATAATAAAAGAATAGAATTGGTAATTATGAATAAATTATTCTTAAACTAAATGGATAATTTCAGCATTACAACTCCCGTTGCTAAGATGCACCTCAACTTTACAGCTTGCAGCAGCTACTGAATATAGCCTTATTTGATGTGCTTCATAACTCAGTGAACAAGCAGACAGTCCAAAAGTTACACAGCTTTCTATGTTCTATTACTTAAATTTCTAAACTGTGAAATACCAATAAGGTAAAAATTCAAAAAGCTTGAATATAACCTTTTAGCAACATCTGGGTCTGGGCCATTGAAAAACCTAAACTATAAGTATTGTTATATAGTACCGTGATGAAAAGCCAAAAGTCTTTTGTTTAGTTCCTGGAAAGGTATGTCGTAAGCTCAAGGTCAGTTACCTCAAACAGGAATTTAGTACCATCACATACCTGGCACTAACAATGTTCCCAGCATTTAGTTCAACCATTTCTTCAAAACCAATGGCAAAAATGTCTATGGGGTTTGCCTTGCTGTCTGTAAAGAGGAAAAAAACATTCATATTCAATATATTTTAGATCAGTGGTCCTAAAAGAATTGTGAAGTCTATTTAGACGTTGTTCACTTTAAAGTCTGACTGGTTCTTATACCTGGATTAGCCCTCATTTAATTATTACTGATTATAAATTTAAGTGTAGCTTCAAGTTAGAACAAGTACCTATTTTGTCCTTTTTAATAATGATATCTGTTCTTCATTTTTTGCTTGTTTTAGGTTTGAGTAGTGCCAGTATAGCTAGATATTTGGCGAAGTGTTGTAAAAGTATGACAACCACCAGTTTACATATTGTTACAGATTAAATTTTACTACATTATAAAATACATAAATAATGGCATACCCTGGAAGTCAGGAAGTCCTGCCTTCATGGGAGCATCTAGGAGCCAGTCATTGAGAGTCTGGTTGCGAAAGGCAATGCTACGAAATTGTTTACCACCGTTCACATTCCAGGTACCAACACACACTCTGATCTTCTTTGGCCTGGTGTACTTCTGGTAGCTTTGACACATCCCCAACAAAACTCTGGGGGACGCTGTGGAGCAGAGATTAGCATGAATAATATGACCAGATACAATGTGTGAGTACTTGGGAATCAGAGAAGGTGATGCTAAACAAGGGCAATGAGATCTTTTCTAGACATAAATCAAGAGACATAAAGTAAACACAGAGTAGGACCGTTTTAACCATGTTCAAATTATAACTAACTTACCTTATAATAGTTTAAACAAAAATATAAAAATAAATACTATTTTAGGGAGCTGATGACATGCAAGGGTCAAACCACATTTGGAGGGACTGATACAATGAAAAAAAAAAACATAAAAAAAGAAATAAAAATGATAACACCCATTGCTTTATGTTGGCTGGTTACTGTACCTGATTGTAAGACCGGCTCAGTGACTAAGATTGTAGGCAAAAGGGGAGAGAAGGGAGAGAAGGGCGGGTTAACCAGTGTTTGAGCAGATAATGCCAAACAGAGCATCAGTGTCGGGTAATCTAACTAGGACACAGCCCATCCTACTTGAAGCAGGATTAGACACCTAAAACCTTCTACATTTTAGCTGTTAGTGGAAAAAAAAATTGCAATCTTTAAATAAGTTACATGAAACTAATAAAAGTAAAGATTACCATAAAGACTGGAGGTTGTGAGTAGTGCTCGCGCCTTGTCTGCCAAGTCACTGTTAAGAGTAGAACCCAGCCTGAGTATGTCTATGGCCTCTTGCTTTGACGTGTCAAAGAAGTTGTTCTGAATTGTTCTGGTAACTGAGCGGGCACCATCTTTAAGCTTCCCAGCCTGAAATAAAAACATTATGTGAAATGTTGAACGAAAGACATACCAACTCCCCAATGAAAAGAAGCAACAATAAAATCATGGGAAATCAAAGATGACATGAAGTTTTTGAAACCAGAGCAGAAAATCAACACTGCAATGCAAATATGGTGTCATTTATCCCAGCCAAAATAGCATTTATTTTATTTTAACTACATTAACTACATTTCCAGTAGTAATATATTCTCAAACAGTTTATTTGGGTGTACTATAGATGTAGTGTAAACCTTAATACCAAGCATCCCAAGCAAAAAAATCATAAAGATGATATTAAGAGCTGTATGGAACCCTGAGCGTTTTGAACAATTTAAACTGAACCCAAAACAATAATCCCACAGACACAGAGCGGCAAATCAAAATGACACCTGACGTTTTCACTTACCACAGGGGCAGATGTCCAGAGAGAGCAAAGAGAGACAGCACACACAGGTTAGGAAACTGGAGCACACAGGCCATAATATCTCCATGCAAAACTCTACCTCTAGCTGCTATTTATATGCTTATATACTTCACAGACTTTACATGCACAACTAAATGTGCAACTGCAGTCTACACTTGAAATTGAATCTGTAGAGAGTAAAATTCTGTATAAAGGCCGCCACACACTACATGATTTTTCAGTCTTAAATGATTTTTACACATGCAACAAAGAGTGCACACCACAGACACAAGGAGAATCTTGAGAATCTTGAGGTTACAAAGCTGTGAGTGCAAGACAAAAACTGTGTTATTATTTGTTAAATGTGTTGCAATAGTTCAAATACATTATATTTAGTGCACAGAAGGCTTGATATAAAGTACACAGCAAGTAGTCTTAATCGCTAATCTGCAACTTCACCTGATCTGGGTGCTTAAACAGACACACCTCCCTCAACTCAGGGAGATGCAAATCACAGCCAAAATCGGGCAAATTGTCCTGTAGTGTGTGGCAGCCTTAAGGGCTGCATGAGATCAAATCACAATAGCTGGAATTATTTTGATAAGGGAATGTCCTCGGAAAATAAAAAAGTCCAGTTTTTCCTAGAAAAATCTCATACTTCTTACATGTTAGTAGTCCATAATACAACTGTTTTCTAAAATAATGCAGCCCTATTCTGTATCATATCATAGTAAGCAATCATAATAACATAGTCAAGTGTTCACCATGTTCAACCATATTCTCACAAGCTTTAAGTAATTACTGTTTAGTGTGCACAGCTAGCTTCTGTATAATTTACAAACGCATATTTAAATGGCTTTCATACTAGCAGGTCTTCACTCATCGTCACAGTGTGTACCTTGGCCTTTCCATCCAGCGCTCCAGTGCCTGCATAGATTTTACTGACAGAATCTCCGTTTTGAGACCACATGGTCCGGAACACTTCCTGGAACCTGGCCACCAGCTGTGGCTTTTCAGTCAAACCCATTTCCTCAAGCTGCTTAGGCAACATCTAAAAATCAAAAGGAGTATGTATAGTTTTAAGAAAATTAGACAAGTAAAAACATAGTTGCCTGTGGATGATTTATTAAATAGCATGGTGTTGTGCAACAATAAATAAAGAATAATAGGGCTTTATATGGCTTAATATAGCCATGGCTTCTCTTACCTCAAGACCAAAGAAAGCCTGGACACTGTTGGTCCTGTCCAAACAATCCAGACAGTTGGTTCTCATGGTCCCACTCTGAGTCCTGAGAAGAAAAAATGTCAGTAGAAAAATCAGTACCTCTCCTCAGCAGTTAAAAATGCTATATAAAAATATTCTGACCTGGTAATCCCCGTCTCGCCCGAGTAGTAAAAGAAGCCACACTCCTCAATAAATTTGGTGAGCTGTGGTTTGAGAACGCTGTGTAGTTTGTCTGCTTTTCCTCCTCGGACGTTCTGATGGTAATCAAAATTTACCATCCTCACAGCTGAAGCGTGCTCAGAGGCTTTCAAATGGCTCTGTCAGAAATAACAAAGAAGCAAAAGTATTTTAGCTAATCATAATTCATAGAAACTGCTAACATAAAACAAATTCTTGAACTCACCTGAAATGCTTTACTGAGCATGTGCTCCCCTTCTTTGCTCCCTAGCAGGTTAATGATGACCTGTTTGCCATATAATCTTCGAAGGGCGGTGAAATGTCTAGTGACAAGAAAGAGTGAAGAGGATTCAGTGAAAACAAAATGTATTTGTATAATCAAAACTTCTTAAAGACAGCTTGTTGTTTAGAGTAAATTTATAACATATCCAAATAAATTCACATTTAACAGCATCTTTAAAAATAATGGTAGTCTAATATGTTAACAATCTTAACAGCTGAAGCAAAAAAAATTAACAAACATTATTACTATTCAATTGCGTGTGTTTGTGGCTCCTGTCAACTACAGAATGTTAAGTGGAGCAATGTCCAGCTGTGTGTTTCCATCTACACTCACTAACAACTCCAACAGACTAAATATGTTTGTGCAGTCTGATTAAATATGTCATTTCACACTGTTTAAATGTCATCAAAATAGATATGAGATAATAATCTGAGCCTTCTCCTGTTTACCTAAGGCTGACTGTCTATTATGTTCGTTCTCATATTCTCATACCACCACCCGGGCAGCTGGTAGTAGATAAGGATGGAGCCACTTGCAATGTTATCAAGGTGGGGCTTGAAGATATGGGTGCCCAAAAGGTTATCCTGGTCCCTATACCCATCTTAAATACTGCCAGTAGTCAAACTACCCATTAATGTGAGACATTTTGTAAAATACAACAGACAGTTAAGACATGTTTTGAGTTTTCACATAACTGCACTATAATCAATATTACAAGGTACCTTTCAAAAGCTGGTGCATTCGCCTCAAATCCTCTAGACAGTTTGACTCGATGAGAACCGACCTAGTGATCAGAGATAGCCAGAAAAGAAAAAAACATGCAAGTCACGATGTCCATTTTGCAAAACAAATCACAGGGCAGCTTAACAACAAACAATGCAGATGGCAAGAAACCTGTGGAACAAATCATTAAGACTCAACTGAGAACAGATTGGTAATAATCATCAAAGAAGTAGGAAAACGGCACAAGCAAACAGGAAAATCGGACACTAAGCAGCAGCACACAACCTCATACATCAAGATTTTGTATTTGTGTATGTATTTTCTTTTGTGTTTTGTGGTTGCACAACAGCCTCAAAATATCATGTAGACCTGTGCATGTTCAACCATGACAGTGCTTGTTTCACTTTGTCTCACTACCCATTATTACACATGCCTTTTGTTAAGCAATCTTTAAGTAGTTCTCAAATCTTCTATTGGCATTTTGTGTTTTATTGGGTTTTATTGTGATTTTATGATAACAAGCTTGTTCTTGGCAAGACTACATACAATAATTTGTCCCATGCTGCCATTTTGTCACTTGCTCCACTGTTGTGACGGTCTCTATACTATGCATATTTAATAGTTTCCTGATGGTAACAGAATCGCTTCAGTTTACAAAACCTGCTCACATTTCACCCTACAAGATCTCGGGAACAACCTCATCCAAACTTAGAAACTGTCTTTTAAAATGACATTAATACACTACACTGCTGGCCTACAAGTTTAATTTAACAATCCCGCTATACACTACCAAAACTACTTTGACAAATAAAGATGTAAAAGCTAATTCTAAAGTTATCCATCTGAGTAGTAATTTCAGGGAAATGTTCAATGGCAAGGAGAAGATTACAGAGACACAACTAGCAAAAAGGGCTAAGCACTAGAACAATGATTTGAAGATGGAGAACTACGTTTCTGTCTGAAAACAATCCCAAATACCACTGCTAATAATTATTTTGTGAATCCAGTTACTGATACTGAATGTAATGTTTAAAAAAGGTGCACAACATACTTTCTGTGTGTGTTTTCATTGTTAAAAAAGTACCTTCTTACTTTGAGCCGAGTCGTCTCTCTACTAATCTCACTTGTAACTTGGTCTGGTGGTGTCACCTGCTTGTCCCCATGGAGATAGAGCTGTTTAATTCTGTACTGTGGAACATTTCAGATCAAGCAACAGCATTTCCATGAAGACAAACAGGTGGCAGACAGTGGCAAGTTACATGCTGTTCATGTAATGTTTGAGAAAATACTGATTTAAATCAGGCTCATTTATATTTGATGGTTTGGGTATGTTTTCAGACCAGGCTCTCACCTGACCAAAGATCTCTGGGAGCTGAGGAAAACAGAAAAATGGCCTTTACCAACCACTAGAACTATAAGTACTATCCCCCACATCTGATCCAATCCACCAATCTGTGCAATGTCAGGCCAAGGACACAGGCAGGCCAGTAACATTATTTATTATGCACTTCAGAGGTCTTAGTTCATATCATAAATTAAATCATGAGTGACACTGATGTTACCGCAAATCAAATGGAGAACTATGATTTGAATCAAAGCCTTGTGTTTGACCTCTGCATTGCACAGAAGCACAGTATGGCCGCACCAACACCAGCAAAGGCAGATTTGAAACCGATTATACCAGATGGGGGTTCTCATCCAGGCCATTAGGGTTCCGATTTTCATTCAGTTGCAACCAAACACCCTTAATGGACTTTTTCTAGACACAGTGTGGAAGAATGTTACAACAACATTTTTACAATTTTTATGTACAGCACTTCCTCCAGTATCTTAAAGGGGATGTTATAATATTCACAAATCTATCATAAAATTAAGATGATGAAACAATACTGATTTGGGTAGAAAAGGTCATATCAATTACCTGAATTCCAGGCTGTTCCCAAAAGAGCGGAATGGACCCACGAATCTGAATGAAGGATGACACTTTGTCGTCCAGAAAAATAGCCTAATAAAGAACATATTTACAATAAGTATTAATAATTAATATTACAGTGCAAAGGGCGGTTAGCTTCATTACATATATTACAACATAATAATCTAATCCTATTATGATCAAATATTGGAGGCACACATGTGTCGGTAAACAAGAGGAAGAGGAAATAATAAAAGAGAAGTGAAGCACCAATAGACTCTTCCATGGAATAGTCTGACATGTCAAAACGAAATGCCATCCATGATATTTCATTCTGCTAACCAAGTACACTATACTCTCTCTGGATAATGCATGCACCAATGCAAAACAGAACTAAAAAAGCAGAAGATGTCAAATGAAGATTTGCATGTGTGCACTTCAAAAGAGACTAAAAGCCCCCACTTCTTCCCTAGATAATGACTAATGCTCTGTTTTCCTGTTGTTGCACCATCATATGACAATGTAGCCCATCAGACTTATTGTGACAGAAAAAATAACTGACCTGCTCAGTTTCTACAAAGTTAGCAACTTGTCCGTCATCATTGGTTCCTCTCACATTGAAGCGAGTGCCGGCTCTTTCTGAGCTGAGGCGAGAGAAGATACAGGCCTTGGCCTGTTTGTGGCCTGCATAAATGGTCCTAATTTCCACTCCCCCACACATCAACCTCAGCAGCCAGTCATCACAGTTTACTCCATAGTGCTTAAGATGCAGGTGCAGGGACTGGTTCCTAGCAGAAAAGACAAATGTCAGCATTTAAAAACCATTTCAATTCACTAGTAAAAGAAAAAATGGCTTTCACCAACCAGAAGAAGCGGTTGTCTGTGGTATCCTCCAGGATTCTGCGGTGTGCATTGAGGCTCAGGTCCATACTAACTCCAGTGGAAGACCAGGCGAAGTAGAAGTGTCCTGAATTGAGGACCTTTCGCACCTCTGCAATACGCTCCTCATCGGCAGGGTCATTGTTAAGGGAAATGAAGTCAGTTTGTGTAACTCGGAAAACCTCAGACTCCTGGACTTTCCCCACTGAGCTGCACCCGGACACCACTACCAGACTGTGGAGCATTGAGTCACCTGCAGGAGAGAGGTTTAAAACTAATACAACCTATGTAATAACATCATTTATTTTGCACAATACTGATGAAATACAAAAAAACTATCTTAGGATTTAGTTGACATTATGCCTATCTTTTACAATCATATAATTTCCTTATTATGATAACAGAAATGCCAAGGTCAGGTAAAGGACAGCTAAAAGCTGCTTATGAGTATGTAGTAAAACATCTCTTAGATTAGAACAACGAACACAGAAAGGACTAACAAAACATTGTGCAGTTTACATTATTACATACCTAGGTTTAATCGAAGGACCCCCAGAATTCCATATGCATCCTGGATCCTAGTATATGTGTTTTTTATTGCCTCTTTTTCAGCTGCAGCTAAAACAGAAACAAATAAAGATGAGTTTTTGTTCATCATTCACAAATTATGTATCTAGTTACAGTAAAGAAAGAAATAACAGCAAGTTCTCTGTGTTATAGTGTCTGTAATTAAATGTGTTTATATCTTAGTTCTGTAAATAAAGCCTTAAATCATTACAGTGCAATAACCTTAACGACTTACACAGAACAGCCACAGCCCCCGACTCAAACATCAAGCATTCTTCTCTGCCTCTGGTCTCCACAATGACACTGTAGGGGGGTGGGTCCAGTTTGTGGTAAATTCGAAAGCCCTTACTGAAGGCCATTTTGCTCCCAGCTGGTACTCCTAAGCACTGATCTGAAAAATAATCATCAAATAACATTGATAAGTACTCACTGATCATTAAAAGTAGGTCCATTAGATTATTAGATGTTGATTAAGATGAATGCTCACAGACATGATAGTTTGACATCATGTATGACTGCTGTGTTTATGGCTTTTAATGTTGGGCTTGTAATATTTGACTTAAAGCTGTCAAGAGCAAATCATAGCACTGACTGTTCTAGCATTGGTATGTGCCTTAGTGGCCCTGTAGTATAAGATATTTTGGGTAATTGCCATCTTGAGCAATAAAGATTACCTAATACATTCCTGTTATTACGCACAAATTACTTTATAATATGTCGGACAATGAATCAAAAACACGCATTCATTACAAATTTCTGGTAAAGGCCGTTAAGGCCAGAGCACTAAAGATATCTTGCATCCTAGCAGAGCCAGTCACGACACTAGATGCAAGTGCAAGAGGAAAAGCTAAACGCCAGCATTAATCCCCTGATTTAGCGCTACTGCTGTGTTTTGCTAAACGATCTGGTGATACCCTAACAAATGTAAAGTAGGAGTATAATCTAATTTCAGTTGGAAACCGTAGAAAGCACTTGCCTAGGCTGCTGGTTCGGTTAATCGCGGAGAGCGCTAAGACTGGTTAGCTTCAAACGATACCTGGACGCCCAAATAAGCTCTAGCAACATATCCTGCAGTAAACCAACGTGTTTGAGGACATACTTATCTTTATCACCATTAAAGCGCACATTTGCTCATTCAGAATCTATTTAAATGCTGGATCATGACATGAGAAATAACGTATTTCACCTTTCCGTCCTCCCCCGCCGGGTTGATACTTCGCTGTCACAACAAAATCCTTCCCGGTGTGTTGACCGAATGGTTCAGTCCAATGTGAAGCCCCTCCCCTGATTTACCATAAACCGAAGAGTAACAAAGCCTTTTCTTTTTACAGTGGAAATTATACATGTTAAATGTATTAACAAACGAATCGATGTATAGGACAGAGACTATTACGAATCGATCGCTGTCATTTTACCAATAAAAACAAAATGTTCTTACCGGGTTTAGTGATGACAGACAGCTGAATTCCACCAATAATCGTAGAGTTTAAAGAGGGCTGCGGCCAATTGCGTTTTGCGGGAGGCGGAGCATTTGTGAAAGGCTGGATAGTTTGATAAGACAGAAAGCACTGAGCTATGTTTTCATGTTGGAGCCAGCTGGAGTGCAGTTTAGATAACAGGCGTCATATAAAGGGTAGGTGATGCATTTTGCTTTGACTTTGGAATAATGTGTGTTTTAGTCTTTCTATTGTATTCCTTTGTTTACCATTGCAGCTCATTACTGTACGTAGTTGTTGTAAACGGAGAGAGAATAAAATCAACAGAGAAACATAAACATAAAGCTATTGAATTGGTAATGACTAAGAGTAAACACTGGCAATACATAAAATGGTATACGTTTGTTTAATGTATAAAATTTGACATAACCAGGCCTTGAGGGTTGACATGAAAATTGACACTGTCATTGCTCACAACAATTGACATGACGTGTGATCACAATTAGGTAACATACAGGTTTTCACAGTAGCTCTCTTTTCTAGAGTTAGGTTTTTGGGTGTGTTTGTGTGTGTGTTTAATATGTGCAGCACTGGAAACTGCCTTTGTTTGTCAGGTGTGCTATAAAGTGCATACAATTGGGGTCTACTTTTTAAAATATACATTTACCATGTATCATGTGTATGTGTATATGTATTTTGTTTGTGCAGTGACAAGATGAAGGGAGTCTATCTTGTGGAGCCTGCTGTTGGGCTTTACTCCTTCTCTGCTTTTCTCATCTTCCCTTTGATGCAGCAGTTTGTGTATCGCCGGCTCTGGGAGGATATAACCAACACAACTTACCCTGAGTTTGACAATGTTACTAGATGTGTAAAAAACTCCAGCAGCAATGAGACAAACCATCACGAGGCAAGTGAAACAAAACCTGTTATACAGAACACAGAAAAAAATAAAATTAAATAAAAGTGAAAATGTACCCAATTAAGTGGAAAGGCTATTTTTATTTACCAATCCCCAACAACCATAAAACACCTGCTGATGCAAAACATCGAAAGCAGCAGTTCTCCTTTTTTCTTCAACTCCGTGTATTCACTAAAGCATAATTTTTTTGTGTTTCTTACAGGAGGTTCAGAAGCAGGCATCCCTCTTGTCCCTTTACTCCGAATTATTCTCTGCTATTCCCAGCTTTATTGTCACCATCCTACTTGTGGCTTACAGTGACAGAGGAGGACGCAAGATTGCCATTATAATGCCTGTGATTGGAACTCTGCTGTACATAAGCGGCCTGCTGGCAATTTCCTACTTTGAACTAAACATATACTTGACGATTGTCTGCTCAGTTGTAAGCTCATTGTTTGGTGGTTTTGGGACATTTCTAGGAGGTTGCTTTGCCTACGTCGCTGATATAAGCAAAAATGAGCACCAGAAGACCATACGTTTGGCTGGTGTTGATATGATTCTCGGTGTTCTGGCTGGGGTGGCATCCTTGTCGACTGGTTACTTCCTCAAAGCAGCAGGATTCAATTGGCCATTTATAACCTCTCTTGTTGGACTGCTTTTATTGTTGTTGTATGTCATTTTTGTACTTGAAGAAACCGTAAAGAAGGCCCCACCTGATGCCTCTAGATTGGATACACCTCCACAGGTGTCGGCTATCAAACAAATGTTTTATAGCATTTATCATGTGTTTGCTAGTGGGGACTGTAGGTTCAGAACTATACTGATCATGCTTTTAGTTGCTTTCATAATTTTTGCCTTTGCGGATATTGGAGGAGTATCCCTTATTACTCTGTATGAGCTAAATGAACCACTTTGTTGGACGAGCATTATGATTGGATACGGCTCCGCACTCAGCACAACGGTGTTTCTAACCAGTTTCTTTGGAGTCATGGCCTTTTCTTACTGCAAGGTGCCTCAGACCATCATCGTCATGGTGGGCTTTCTGTCCTTCATCTTAGGCATGATCATGGTGTCCTTCACTAAGACAACTGAAATGATGTTTTTAGGTAAAAAAAACCACACAATATTCTAGTGAACAATTACATTTGTGTAACTTTCAGATCATTTAGTAATCAGTACAATGTATTCTTTTCATTTTAATATAATCTTTGTCCACAATAAGCAATAATTTACTGAACAGTACTGTTAAAAACGTGTTTTGGTTTTCTTTGTGTAGTAAGAATACCCATGCTCCTGGCTGCTATGCCTTTTCCCGTCCTGCGCTCCATGATGTCGAAGATCGTCTCAAAGGCTGAGCAGGGTAAGTGCAATTAGTTTTTTGTTTATTTATCAGGGACAATGCACATAAATACACTGATCTATCTTACAAAGTAAAATTGCTCATTTCCACCATCTGGACTTTAGACTCCACAGGAGTATAACACATATAGTCCTCCATAAGACTATGTTTTATGTTTGCAGAGTCAGAGTCCAGTACAATCTGCCTTTTTCAGCTGTTTTTGTGTACTTTCTCATTCTCTTATCAGAAATATTGAAGTGAAAGTTGTCTATCAAAAGTTGTCTATTTTTAGTATACCCTCAGTGTTGCTGATCTGTTTTTGTATTTCTTTCAGGAGCTTTGTTTGCCTGTATATCATGCTCGGAGAGTATAACTAACACTCTGTCAATAGCAGCTTTTAACAGTATTTATGCTGCCACAGTTGGTTGGTATTCTGGATTGATCTTCTTGCTCTCTGCAGGACTCTGCATCATCCCTTCTATATTGATTGGGTAAGTAATAAGCCATATGCAGGATTTCATATGGCATCACAACTTTGTAAAATCCTGTACATGTATAGGTGTATAATCAACCTTCATACTAATGTAGGTGATCAGATCTAGCATTGTACCTTATTAATGCCATACAGTCAAAATAAGAACACTCAAAAGTGGGAAATTATTCTAGAGTCTGAAAACAACATATTTCTTAAAGTGAACATAATACTGATCATTTACATAACATACAGGATACCTGTCCTGCTTAGTCAGACAAAATCCTGCTCAATCACATGTTGTTCCAATTGTTAACATGTTGTTCCAATTCAGTAACTGAAAATGTGTCAGCAACTTTTCTAGTACTCTGAAGTGCTTTAGTACATACTAGACTACCCATGTGGAATCTGTTTTATGAACTTATAATAAAAGAGTGAGGTTATCCAGCAAAAGTAGTACATTAAATATTCAAATTTTTGTTTTTCAGAATTTTGATTGTGATGAGAGTGGATTTCAGCTCAAAGGACAAAGAGGTTCCCATAGATGAACAGGGTCTTTTCCAGGACCAGAATGACAACAGAGAGGCCATAAACTAAGAAAAGGTTCTCTTTCATTTTTCTCGTGCACTATACTGTGGTCAAAGAAATGTTCACCGACCTACCTCCCATATATGAAGCTTTTTTGTATTATTATTATTTTGCTAATTACTTTCTTTAAAAAAAAAAAACAATAACACAAGTTTTTTTTGTTTTTTTTTATCCTTAAGGGAAATATGATAAAAAGTCTGAAAAAGAGGTAAAGGTGGGAGTTGTATAAAACAAGTACTAAGAAATAAGTACTGTTTTTAAAGATGCAAAATCAAATATATGCAATATATTATACAATAAGACTAAAATATTTCATAAGCATATAAAGTAATATGTCTGCAGTTGTTTTGTTTAATTTTACAGTCTATTCGCATTTAGTGCGAGTCTTGAACCTCATTTACAGGCACATTTTTTATCTCGTTTCCCACAGTTTCTGTAGAGGCTGTTGTTGCATAGGCAATCTTAATTTTCATCATACACAATTTAGACTATTTAATCAAAATCCCTTTTCTGAACTGTACAACAATAGTGCAACAAACAAAAAGTATGATTTGTTATACCAACTTATTTTCCAGCTTGTTTTTCTTATATAATATATTATATATATATATATATATATATATATATATATATATATATATATATATATATGTGTGTGTGTATGTATGTATGTGTGTATGTGTGTATGTATGTATGTGTGTGTGTGTGTGTGTGTGTGTGTGTGCGTATTGAAATTAGGATTGCCTGTGCCACCATAGCCTCTGCAGAATTTGTGTGACTAATAGAGTGATTGTTTTTTTGTTTTGATTAATTTTCTACCTTAAAATTTTGTGTTTGCATATTAATATGTGGGAAAACATTTAAGTTACATAGAATTCAAAGTGAAAATGTCGAAAACAATCATGCACTTATTCCCTGTGCAAAGTCTGACTTTTACCAAAGTACCTTTGTTTACTTATTGTTTACTTATTACATTTGGTAGACATTTGGTAAATCAGTGGTAGAAACTGTAAATGTATTAGAAAAAAATTAAATAAAGGGATATTTTCATGCTAGTTTAGGAATCAAACTAAATGTGAATTTAGATTTTAACCACACTGCATCATTTGAGGAGGATACACAAGGGAATATGCCTTTTTAATAAATAATCAATTCTTACTTACCAAGATTTTAGTGCCTTAGTAGAACGTTATATGCGTTGGCCACTAGATGTCACTCACGCTTCAAACATTCGCCTCTGGCAACTGCGTGACCAATCCTCCTGTAGGCAATAGGTAAAAGAGTCAGTGTAATATTTACTACAGCACTTTTGATATTAACTGGAGTTGCCGTTTGTTTGTCCATGAACACTGAATGTTGGTCATATTTCTGTAAAATAAAATAAGATACCACAAGTTTACACAATGACTTTTCTTTGTTGTTCACGTCCAAAGTATTTTCACTGTTTTATTCCCTTCCTTACTTCTGTCTTTGAGTTTGTAGATCATTTCCTCACAGACCATTTGGACACGTGCAACACCTAGTGTCATGTGGATGATAAATCGTCATCCGTGGAACATTCACGCTTAAACCAGATTGCATGGTCCGCAATGGGTTAGATGGAGAAACGGAATGCTAACTGTGTAATAGATGAATGAGATGACTAGTCTACAGTCACTGTAGTTGCATACTAATATACTAATATATGTACATAGTAGGTTCAGAAGTCAGTTTTGACTGTAATAACATTTAGATAAATTTTTTACTGGTTACTATAAGTTACTGGAACACCCAGAACAACGAAATCTATACAGAAATCTAAAGAATAGTGGGGTCAGATACATGCTGTTCACTGGAAATGTAAACAGTTGGCCTAACTCACACACAAACCGTCTAATGTTTTTTCATAATGTACACTTAGTATATTTCATTTCCACTTCTCTGCAGTTAGATTTTACAGTGAGTTTATCATTTAAGTGCAAAGCTGTAAGGTTTTCATCATCCCTTCTATATACAATCAAAGCAAGAATATTCAAGAGTAGAAATTATTCTAGAGTCTGAAAACAACATATTGCTAAATGCAAAATGTGAACTGGTATTGTCATGTGTCATGTACATAACATACAGGATGCCATGTACTTAACATACAGGATACATGACTTGCTTAGTCAGACAAAATCCTGCTTGGTCACATGTTGCTCCAACTGTCCAACAATTCAGTAACTAAAAATGTGTCAACAACTCTAAAGTACTTAAGTACATACTAGACTACCCATGTGAAGCTGCTTTATGAACTACGAAGCTCACTGTTAAAACATTGTCTTTTATTCAGCAAAAGAGGTACATTTAAGTATTTTTATACAAACTAACAATTACCTTAACAATTGCTAGTTGTTTTTCAGAATTGTAACTAAATTACTACATTACTAAAAGTAATCTGATTACAGTATTCCCTTTGTAACTAGTTACTGCCCAACACGTACCACATAACCACATACTATACAATTCAACTGGGACTCCTGGGAACAACTATGAAATTTATGCAGCACTCTTAAGGATAATGGGATCTGATACTGATAGAGTTTTTCAAACACCAAACTTCAAATGTATTTTCACAATGTGCACTTAGTATATTTTATTTCCACCTCACTGCAGCCTGATTTTAAGGTGAGGTTATCATTTAGGTGCAAAGCTGTGAGGTTATGGTCACATTTTCAGCCCGTCATTATGAGGTGTGGTGAGAGTGACGCAGGTTTTCCCTATGCTCTGAAGGATTACAGGGGAGATGGACTGGTGTATATTGGAGTCAAGCAATAGGGTTTGGGTTTAGCTGAATCAACAGTGCTATCATCTGCTGCCAACCACATCACAAATAAACCCCATTTTATGTTGCTCTAAGTTGCTAACAGACCCCTCTATCTGCAACCCGGGAGATGATAATGAATTGAAAACTATTTGAGGTGGTTTGCGTGACAGAGGCAGAGGCGCTCCCAAGTCTGGATACAGATGATCGATACAAGATGATTTTTTCCACTGTGTTGAGGGTTTCCTGTAGTGTGAGTTGGCTGACCAGAAACAGAAGTAGAACTTGAGTTAACTGGAATAGCATATATCATTTAAAGAAGTGCTTTGAAAAGCATTGAGTTGGGACCCATTTCTATCTTACATCAGTATTTATTGGTGTTATTTATGTATGGAAAAATGAAGTTAACACTAGATCTGAATAGTGCAACAAATCAATATGCAAATTACTTTTTTTGCCCATATTATAACATTTTCTGATCTATGATACCATGTTGTTTTCCATCAAAAACATACCTTACCATACAAATCCTGCATATTTAGGATGAGTTCTTCACTCAGATAGAAAACAGTCTTTCCTGCCTTGTGATATCATGTGATACAGGAAGTGCTCCACTGTGTTTTTAAACTCCATACACCTTCACTTGAATCATTTGGATACTTATAGTCTGGAACTGACAATCTCTACTGAACAAAAGGTAAAAGGTAGCCGTTAGCTTGAGAACTACCACTACATGGCATGAGGTGGAACAGAGCCTTTTCAGCTGTGGGAATGCAGAAATACTAATAATAAAAGATTAAAAAAAAAAATACAAAACACAACTTGATGTATGTTTTTGATGAGATAACAACATTCAAACATGGCTTAAAGCTCTCAAGAGTCAATGTTATGTACTATAGGACTTTAAATTTTAACTATTTAATAATCTGATACTGAGAACACTGATTTAAGTGAAAAATGCTTCGACTAACCCTGGATTTCCCCCTGGATGCTTACTGTGCTGCGATTTACTGATCCACATCTGGGACTCACTCCTGTGTGCACTGGCATCCTCTTTGTGACATGTGGCCAGACACCGGGAATGGCACTCTTAAAATTATAGCTTTTCTCTTCCCATTTCCTTCCTTGTTGTATTTTTAACTGGCATCCAAAGACTATTTGCAGTTAGCTTTCCTCATATTTTGGAAGAAATAGCAACGGGTTGTGTCTCTGTGTACACCAATCCCATGCAGATTTTGGGAATCTTAAATGAGTAAATTATGTGCTGTATATAGGCTAGTTTGACGGTACAAATAGGCTATGTGGAGGTCGGTTGGCTTGTTTGACTTTTAGATCTTATTAATTAGTATTGTTTATTATTACAAATTCTGTTTTGATGGAATTAAATAAGTAAATGAAATATGTATAATACAAGATCACACTTATATACTTTAAACAACAACAATTACGGATTTTAGTTGTATTTGTTTTGTATTTTTCTATCACTTTAATGCATACCCTCTCCTTATTTTTATTTTATCAACAGTTTATATAATTAGGTCTTTGTTTTATTTTGCACCATATGTCCGAAGCAAGTTCCTAGTCTATGAATTTTGTTATTTATTCTGATCACTGAGAAACATATTTGGTCAATTTAATGGGCTTGTTGTTTTGGATATACCTCTTTTAATACAAATTTGGGCTGCTTTCCTTTTGAGTTGACAATCACCTTTTTAGAATTTCTATATTCTGCTGAGTTTGTGTCCTACTATTTGACCGCAACCCTTCTCCTTTGCTCCACCACTTCTCTTAAGAAAATCAAGTAGCCTTTTATGATCTGTTTTAAATATAGATCTGAGACTGCTGTTATTGGCACACGCCTAAACCACAGGAGCCCCTCTTTACTGTCTCCATCTCCTGCTCCCACTCTGACCTCTTATGTGGTTTTGGAAGTCCTCTTACCCCATAGGCCTCCACTTTGAATACTGACATCTCCACACCACTGTCTGTACATTGTAGAAAATATATATCACGGGAACTTCATGCTGTTAAGATAAAAATGTAAGCAGTGAGTCCTAAACTCTTGTTGTCGTGTGTCAAGAGTCTCATTTTCCTCCAATACACTTGAGGAAAATGTCTGACTCTGAAAACATTATATATTAGAATATTTGTAATTATAAAGCATCACATTTAAAACTTATGGCTCGGGAGATTAAAATAATCAAACTTCTTAAATGCAAAAGACTTGAAGACAAAATTGGCAAGTTTTTTATTTTTTTTTCCAAAACTCTCCTCACATACCCTCTTGTACCTCATACTCCAGTACCATAGATTTAGAACCACTATAGACCTATAATGCATTGGGACTTGTAAATGTACAGATGACATAAAGTATAATATGGTTATAAAATACAAAAAATATATGCCCAGACATTCCTAAATTCTGTAGCCCTTAGAATGGAGTGAGCATGCCATGGCTCTTTACTGCTCTCTTGTGTCTAGACTGAAATTATTGTCTTATATTTACTGCTCATGGTGTTCTGAAGCTGTTATTAAATTCTTCCATTGTTTTCTTGCATGTTAAATAAGAATTAAATAAGATGAAGTGCATCTATCCATTATTGTCCCCATAATACGTCATTATCCACACCATAAAAGGAAGACCTGATAGCTAGTAGGAGAAAATGATCTTGGGGGTCTTATAGTGACAACCCCCACATGGATAACACAGTGGCAAATAAAAGGTCACTGTGTTCAATCAATACTGTGTGGTTCTGCTTCACTGCTTCACATTAATAAGATGCTGAGGAAAGTCTAGGATCTGATGCATTCATTCAATATTTAGGTTGCTTTCATTATATTTTCTTTCACACTATATTATGAATTATGTTTTTATATATTTGAACTGGTTTTATGATGTGTGTTGACAGCGCTATATGTCCATCGACAGAGATTGAAGAGTTCAGAATCTCTGCAATGAGATAAGCTTAAGGTACTTTTTATTGTCCCTGGATATTTGCCCTCTGCATTTGACCCAACCTGCCTCTGGGTCAACTTGTCAGGAGCAGTGAGTACAGAAGTGTAGCGGCCTTGGACCCTTGGCTTGATCAGTGCTTGATTAGCTGGAGGATTTTACCTGTTATACTTGTTTTGGTTGACGAGGAAACCAAAGTGCCCTTATTAAAAATTCTGTAAAAATCTTGTTTAGTCTTGCAGTAATAGCGTCGTGTGACTCCTGAGTTACTATATTACACAAGGTTAAAAGTGAACGCTGATTACATCTTTATTTATCATGTTTATATTTGGCTTGCCTTATGCCCCTGGTCTTTACAGTGAACTCGCTCTGTACATGCTGGCCACTAATTAGTTTTAGTATGTACTATTTTCATTAGTTTTGCATTAGCTAATTTAAAAAGATAAAAAATAAACTAGTTAATAAATGATAAAAAGGATATATTTAATTCTTTAATATCCTGTTTTAATATCCTGATTTTGTCCAACTCATTAAAGAACTAGAAAATCAGTTATTACATTATTCGTTTTGTGTTTGGAAAAGCATCTGATTTAGACTGTAGTCTGTATTTTGTCTCTCAATGCATCAATCCAAACAGAGAAGAGGAAGTCTGCACCACACAGGAGTAGT